GGAGTCTACTGAAGGAGCCAGACGCTTCCCACTTCCTCCTCCTGGGAGACCCCAGGGAGAGCCAGGGCAGCCTCCCCCAGCCTTGTCAACAGCAGGTCACTAAACACAGGTAGCTGCCTAATTAAGTTTATGTATGGTTGCTGTGAAGCTGGGCAAAGTGGGATGTAAAGTTTGTTTTCTGTTTGTTTTTTCTCAGTGTTTTCTTATGTTTGTTTTCTAGAGAAGGGACTGAAGTAGGGCCTAAAAGAATCTGTGTCCTTCGGGGTGGAGACCTGTAGGGGGGGTCCCAGTCATAGATCCTTCCCAGGGCCTGTCCTGGGTCCCACACTGTCCCTCCCCCGCTGAGCTGGCCCTCCCCTCTGGAGAGATGCAAGGCAAGCCCCTGCAAACATCTCGTGATCTGTGGTCTTAACCAATGAAGGACAAAGAGGACAGAAATCGCTGTTTTTGAAAGCAAGCAAGGCCATCTTTTCCTCCTGTTTCCTGATCTTTGTCCCGAGGACAGGAGCTCCGGTGGGAGGAGGTGAAGCCCTGTCTCTAGAACCCCCTGGCCGCCCCTGCCCAGGGCCGCCACCGGGTGACAGACTCAGACTCTTGGGGTGCTTCAGGGCTGTGTTTGTTTTGTTAAATTCCAGATAGAGCTAAATGTGGGGAGGTTGCAACACCAGTGTGATGTGTGAGGGCTTTGAGCGAGCTTGAGCTGTTCTGAGTTGGAACAGTCACGGATACCGATGCACCTGGCCCAAGACGCAGAGACCCAGCTGAGCGCTGCCAGGGCAGAAGGGCATGGCTGGGCGACCCTAGGCTGCAGCAGAGCTGCTGGGAACAGCTTGCTGGGTTTGCCTGTCTGGGCTTGTGTTCTGGTCTTTGCCTCCTGAATGCCAGCTCTCTTTAGAGAGGCTGATGTTGGGAAAGTGACTGTGCCCAGCCCCGTGCTGTCCTGTCCTCGCTCAGGACCCCACCCTGTGAGAGGTGTGGCGAGCCAGCCATCCTGCCTCACTGCGCTCATGCGCTCATGCCTGCTCGAGGGGCAAAGCATCTGGGCCCCTCTGTGTGCCCCACCTGTGCCTCACACAGCCGCTCCCCCCACGCACGCCCCTGGGATGGGCTGGAAGGCCCTTTCTAAGGAGGGAATTGTGGCATGGCTCCAAGGTGGGCCTGGCTGAGCAGCATAGCTTTTAAGTGTGCAGGCATTAAGGGGTGGGCGGCCGGGTCCCTAGAGGGTGCCTCCAGCTACCCTGTGCTCTGACGGCACCCCTCCCGCACTGGCTCTCTTTGCCTCTAGCTGTGCAAAATGTGTCCCTGCTGGACCCAGGTGTCACAGGGTATAAGACGGCAGCGCGGAGGCGTCATTCTATTTGGGATGCCAGCCCCATAAATCTGGTGTCATGGCAGCTGGATTGTGCGCTCCCAAGCTCAGAGGATATAAATGTTGACACCTCGATGTAGACCTGTGGAGCATGGCTGAGTTGCAGTTACTTTTAGAGCTGTAAGTTTGAATTACCTGACTTTTTGTATTAAAAACAATGGACTCATTTGAAAGCAGAGAAAATGTACAATGTAGGAAAAATCTGAAACTTAAGCCTCCGTGATTTCTGGGGGTCTTACCAAGAAGTCTTACCATGTTGGTGCTGCCCCATGGCATGCAGGCAGATGTTGGTGCCATGGAGCCCCAACCTGGATCAGGGCTCACCTGGGGGTGCAGGCAGCACTGGTCTGGACATGAGGCCAGACCCAGTGGTGACCTCGAAACAGTTACTTGTCCAACAGCTGTTTCATGAGAGGGATAAACTGATGTTGTGTGAAAAAATAGAAAGTTTGTTCCATAAGTTCATGGGAGATTTTCCAAGCCAGACCACCCTTGGCAGCATATTAATGACTGAACATTTAGATGGTGAGATCAGGCACTGATTCCCCGTGAGCAGTGCTGTGCATGGGAGACAGTGCTTCCGAATGTCACCTGACCTGGCTCTCTGCTCCCCCAGTCTCCAAGGTGCTCCAAGGGTGGTGGTGGCCTTAGCTGCTCTCCTGTTCGTGAGACGCAGCACCCACACCCGCAAGTCAGAAGAGGGGAGGTTTATTTTAGTTTCCAGTTTTTAGAAGGTTCAGTCCCCAGCCTCCCCAAGGTCCCATGAAGGAGAGCAGCTTTTACAAGGGTGGCCAAGAAGCAGAGGGTGAAGGGTGGACTTGGGGAGCGAGAGAATCCCTCCAGGCCATGCCCCCAGGGACCCCCCCCTTCCAAACAGGCTGCACCTCCCAGCGATGCTTTCAGCTTCCACGGTCCTCCATGGATGGTCCACTGATGAGCGTAGCACCCCACAGTCCAGATGCCATCCACACACACACAAGCGTTTGGGGACACATTGGGTCTGAACCAAAGCAGTGGTGCAGTGTGCCCAGGTGCCTTGCAGGCCCTGCATATAGAGGGGGGGCACATGGGATGCAGAAGCATGCCAGGCTACCTTGTTCTGGGTCTCTGCTTTGCCTGTGGGTATTTGATCCATTTTACAGCTTTGGCAGAGCAGGTCCCAGGTAGTTTTCTAAGCTGCTGTTATCACATGCAAACTTTAAAGCCTTAGTCCCCACTTCCCCCACCTTGGCACTAGTAACATTGGGGCTAAATGGCTATGTTCTGAGAGCTGTCTTGTGCATTACAGGTTTTCTTCAACCTCCAGGTCCTTTATCAATTAGGTGCCACAAACACAGACACAGCTGTGGCAGAGACAGACTTCCAGTCCCTGCCATATGTTCCCCAGGGAGCGGAATCTTCTGGGGTGAGAAGCCCGGCTTTACAGAGCGGGAAGAAGAACTGCAAACATCTCTGTGTGCGTCTGGGTTCTGAGCAAAGCAGGTCCCAGGAAAATGTGAAAAGAGGGCCATGATTTCTGGCCAGTCACTAAAAATAGCTTCTAAGCAGCTTAATTTCCTAAAGCTGGTTTTGATAACTTTGATTGCGATAAAGCATTAGAAGATTAGAAATAGCTGGTTTTGTTTGGCTGGGTTGTATTTGAATGACTGGGTCAGGGTAGGTGCCGGCGCCCCTGGGCTCTGTGAGTTTTATGGGAATCACTAGTATCCTCACGCAGCTGGGCATTCCTGGGCCTCCACACTGGGCAGTGAGTCCCGCCCATCCATCCCTAAGAGGCGAGCAGCCTGAGGTCCTGCCTCCTGCTGTCCTGAGAGCTGACCCCAAGGTGTGGTGCTGACCATCCTGGGCTGGCTGTGACAGGCTGACACGGCCAAGGAAGGCTTTTCCCAGCAGTCGTCTGTTCTACATTGTGCAAACTGACTTTCAAAACAGGTGTGGTGATACACACCTGTAATCCGGGCAGTCAGGAGGCTGAGGCAGGAGGATCCCTGTGAGCTCTATAGTGAGACCCTGTCTCAAAAATAAAAGTAAAAAAGCCATGAAGTTAATTGAAGATAATGTTGTTTCATTGCTGTATAACTTTTACTCTCAGTCTGTGGAAGCAGATTTGGGGGCTTAAAAAGTAATGTATATTCCTTATGAGATATATGTAATGTATTCATGAAAAATATATTTATTTTGGTTGAACAAAGGATTGAATCCAAGGCCTTCACACTGACCTATAATCCCAGCCTTTTATTAAAAAAAGTTATATATATATGTATATATAACATTATGAATTTTGAAATAGTCTCTCTAAATGCCCAGGCTGGGGTCAAATTTAGTATTTTCCCATTTTGAGTCTGCCAAAGTGCTGCAATTACGAGCACATGCCACTACAGCTGGCTTATCATACTATTTTATTATAAACAACTCAAATACATGGAAAGATAAGGAGAATAATAATCTCACCCCCTAGGCTTAACACCTGTCTTTTTTTTTTTTTTTTTTTTCTTTTTGAGACAGGGTCTCACTGTGCTGCTCAGGCTGCCCTCGAGCTCACGTTGTAGCCCAGGCTGGGTGCAGCCTCACAGTGATCCTCCTGCTGCAGCCTCCCCAGTGCTGAGATCACAGATGTGCACCACCATGCCCGGCTCTCGTTTTCTATTTTAAGAAAGAGGAGTTGTATGTGCTTTCGACAGTTTGTGTACCTTTTGGTTCCATTGCACATGGAGCCACTGGAAATATCCCCTCCCTTTAGCCATTTCTTTTCTTTGTTTTTTGGTATTTTGTGTTGGTTTGGTTTGACAGTGCCAGGCTCCAAACCCAAAGCCCCCTGAGCACCCGGCAAGCCCCCTCCCCTCAGCCGCAAATAGCCCTCCTTCCATTTCTGTCAGCCAGCTCCTGAAGTCAACGCTCCTGCACTAACTACATGCTGACTGCAAGCGGTCAGGGGCCGAGGCGTCGCACAGGGGTTGATGCCTGCATGGCCTGCATGAGGCCGCGGGCCTGGACCCCTACAATGGCAAGACAAAGGGTTGTTGCTGAGAATTCTGTAGCAACTGCTTCATGAAAACGGAAAGTAAATTTTGGAAGCCTTTGTCTTAGCCTCGGAAATGTTGGGTGATTTCTCACTGTGTTCACGATTTGATACTGTCTTTCACTGGCCTTCCTGAGGAGACAGCAGCTGACTCACATAGCAGAGAGGCCTGTCCCCGGGGCCACCGTCCAGTGTCATGGAAACTCAGGGTTCATTTTGCAGTGAGGTGTGTGTCAAAGCGAACATGGCTCACATTCTCTGAGTGTTTCCAAACGGCCACCCCCTGGCCCTGCATATGTTCAGGGATTGCAGCGCTGGGACCTGTGTCCCTACAGAACAGTCCACCTGTTCGTGCCTGGGCAGGGACAGGGACCGTGCACAGGAGTTGAAGCTGGGTTTCTTGTCATTGGACATGCCCTGGTGGGAGGGAGTGTCTCCAGAGCAGCTGTCCCTAGAATGAAGGGCTGCTCCCCTCACTGTGTGCACTGGGGAGCACACTCTAGGTCGGGGAGTGCCTGAGCTCTGTCTGCTTTCCAGAAGCAGATGGCAGGGCTGGCGCACGCTGCAGAGGGCGCACTGCGATGGGTACGTGACGCTGTCTTCTCTCCGCAGGAAGTCACTACATGTTTGCCGGATTACTACAAGTGGACGCAGTACCTCTTCATTAAGCTCTATGAAGCCGGACTGGCCTATCAAAAGGAAGTAAGTTCACGCTAGAGCGCCTTTAGCACCCGGTGTGCCTCCCCATCTCCTTGGGCTACATTCTAACTAGCTTAAGGAAGAAAGAATGGTAGCTGTGAAAGTGAGCATCCCCACAAGTCTGCGGAATCAGTCGCAGCAGACACAGAGTAACTGCCGCCTGCCTCAGTTTACAGTTTCTGGGGCCTGGGCTTCTGTCGCCCTTGCGTTCCCAGCACGTGGCAGTGTCCCGTGCCTGGAGTGAGGTCAAGCACAGAACAATGCAGGAGATGCTCCAGCTTCTCAGACCTCCGCCCTGCTCCTCGCACAGCGGCAGGAGCAGCTGATAACAGAACCTTTGGGAAGCCTGGCTTCTCACCCACTGCCCAGCGTGGGAACATCTTCCTTGCGGGGCTCTTGGGAAAACTGAGAACACTTTCAGGCTGAGGGTGTAGCTCAGGGCAGGGTGCGTGCTTCAGCCTGTTGTCTCAGTTACTTTTCTCTCATTGCTGGGACAAAATACCTGACATCCAAAATTGAGGAAGGAAAGGTTTATTTAGCTCACAGTCTGGAGGTTTCTGTCCCTACTTGGCTGGCTCCAAGGCAGAGCGGCACGCAGCAGAGAGCAGCCGTTCATGGCGGCTGCAGAGAGCAAGAGCACAGGGAGAAGCAGCGGCAGCAGCGGCTGCAGAGAGCGAGTCTCCCCTGTAAACTGCACTCAGGCTGCGCGCCCCGGCTGGGCGGGGCACTCACACCCCTAAGCCCAGTGGATTGTAAGTTAATCACAGACTTTAGAAGTGCCCCCATGACTGCGTGAGGCCTTGGGGGGACAGCTAGACACAAACTATAACATACGTTTAAGGCCCCCAGGGTCTGATTCCTAGCACTAAGCGAAACAGAAACCAACTGTGGGTACCCCAGGCCTGGGTAAAGTGGTCTCCCAGGAAATGGGTGTGCCGCTTATGGCAGCGGCTCAGTCACAGCAGATGTTTGGGGTGATGCGAGGAGGGAGCATCTCAGTGCCGCCTCAAGCTCTACCATCCAGGATGGCGGCCCCTACACCTGTGCTGGTTTAAATTTGACTTTAACATAATCGAAAAGTCACGGGGCTGGGGAGATAGCTCAGTGGAATAAGCGCTTGCCTGGCAAGTGTGAGGGCCTGAGTTTAATCCCTGCTTCCGCCAAAAAAAAAAAAAAAGAAAAGTGAGGAGCTGAGGAGATAGCTCAGGGGTCTTCCTGCCTGCCTGGCAAGTGCAAGGACCCAGCTTCCATCTCCAGTACCACATGCTACACCAGCCCCACCCTGGACATACTGAGCTGGCCACTGAATTCAGGCATGGTGGCATATGCCTGTATGCGTAGCACTGGGGAGGCTGAAACGGGAAGATCACTAAAAGTCTGAGCTGTGTAGTGAGACCCCATACTAAATATATAAAATTAAAAATTAATTAAAAGAGAAAAAGTCAGGTTTTCAGGTACATCAGTCACATTCCCAGCATTCAGTGGCCAAACTCCCAGCAGTAGTGAGGACTGGGTGTTGGCCAGCAGAGTGTAGAGCATGTTGGTCATGCCCCACTAGGTGGCTGCCTCGATCAGCTTTTGTGTCTGGGACCAAGTGCTGCCCTAGGTGCCTTTCAGCTCATGGTCTCAGAGACTTAGTCCTGGTTGCTGACTCCACAGCAGGAGCATCCCAGTGGGGGGCCTGGCGGAGGACCTTGCTCAGCTCACGGCAGCCCAGAAGCCACGTGGAGGGAGGAGCCTGCGCACAGGCAGCCCCCCGATGTGCTCCCCCCCAGGCCTTGGGCTACTCAGCTCTGAGCCCAGCAGAGTTGACCATTATGAAGACAAATCAGAAAGCTCAACTTGGCATTCAGAATAAAACAAAAATGTCTTAAACCTTGGCAATATGAAAAGAACATCACAAATCAAGAGATGCAGCGGAGAGAAGTACAAGCCAGTACAGGGCGACCCTTCATCTTATAGCAAGGAGTGACCAGTGCAGAATCCAAGGCTGACGTCTATTTTATTAACATCAGAAAGGTTACTGTCTCGGTTATTTATCTCATTGCTGAGACAAAATACCAGACAGCAGAATGAAAGGAGGAAAGGCTTATTCAGGTCACCGTGTGTTGAGGTCGGCTGGCTCTGAGGCGGGGTGGCATGGCAGAGGGGCTTCACGGAGGAGAAATGTATGGCAGAGCAGGGCAGGCAGGAGGCAGCGAGCAGCAAACACCAGCCCTCCTTCTGCCCCTTCTGTCCTCCCCAAGGTACCCGCCCTCAAGGAAGGTCCAGGGTGGGCCTTCCCATTATTCACACCCACAGCTCTCAGCCGAACCAGTCAGTGGACTAGTTTAGTAGTCACACACCTCACTCTAGATCCAGCCATCTCCCCACCTCTGGCTGCATGAGGTTCTGGGGGGACACCTAGACAGAAGCTATAGTAGTAACTGTTAAGACAGCGACCAGGATTCCGTCCCAGGTGTGCTGTGCCAGCCCCTCCCCTGGGGCTCGATGAGCCATTGAGACTGGGCTTGGTGGCACACACCTGTGATCCCAGAGCTTGGGGGTGACAACAGGAGAATCACTACGAGACTGATCTGTATAGTGAGACCCTGTGGACCCTGTACTAAATACATTTAAAAAGTTAAAAAATTTGGGGCCAGGGAGATGGCTCAGTGGAATAAGTGCTTCTCTGGCAAGCGCAAGGGCCTGAGTTCAATCCCTGGTTTCGCAAAAAATAAATAAATTAATTAATTAAAAATTAAAAAATTAAAGACAAGAAAGATGATAAAAGCTACAACCAGGGTGGGAAGTGGCAGGAACGCCGTGTGGCCATGCTGAGTAGCCCCGTTCCATAGAGACAGTCGCAGGTGCAGTGTCAAGATAATACACCAAACCGGAAGTGTGACTGGATTACTTAGGTATGCTAGTGAGCACCAGCACATGTGAAAGTACAGGAGTATTGTAATAACTGGTGTAGACAGTCTTGGATATTTTCTTTGCCTCTCCACCCAACTCCTGAAGCGATAGCTTCTGAAGAGCGGCTTGCAAGTGCTGAATCTGAAGTGCACCGGTGGGCTTGCGCACGGTGCGTTGGTCTCTCACATACTCTGGATTTTTTCCCATGCACAATTTGTAACAGCATGCACTGTTTTTGTTTCATTTTGTGTTTTGCTTCTTCTTTTCTTTTTTTAGTGTTTTGAGACAAGGTGTCCTTGTGCAGTTCAGGCTGTCCTTGCACTCAGTAGGTAGCCCGGACTGGCCTGGAGCTCACGGCAATCCTGCATCCGCCTGCTGAGTGCTGGGGTCACAGCATCTCTACCATGCCTGGCTCCCGTCACACACCTGGTCATTTGGAGAGTGTTAGTTTGCTGAGTCGTCAGGTCTTCCAAACGCTAGTGTGGTTCATTGTACAACAGTGTCAACATCCTCATGGTTTTATTCTTTGAGAAAAGATAGCATCAACCCTTACTCAGTGCTGCCATCAGCCACGCAGGTGGGGGATGGGGTTTGCACAGAGCTTGCCCAGCAGGCTGGGGGATGACTTTCTGCCCACTGATTGTTCCGTTCCAGTGCCAGAGGCATCTGCCTTATTCTCACCTAGTGAAAATATCTTCAGCCATAAATACGAACATGGAGACCTGCGTGGCACTCTGATCTCACCTCTTTGGTTTAAACATATCTTGTCCTGTGGGCCATGACAGAAGCCTGCTGTGTCATGGGAGCCACACAGCCCTGATTTGTGCCTTAGTCTTTGGTGGCCAGAGATGGTGCTGACACCCACCACAGCCAGGCTGCAGTGGGACCTCAGCTCCTGGAAGGGACCAGAAGGTCACCTTTCCCCTAGAGCCCTCAGCTTTGGGACATTGTGACTGTGACAAGTAAATGGTAGCTCTCAGCCCCCTCCACCAACTCAGTCCACGTAGGCTCCTGGTCTGCATGGGACAGGGAGGCGCAGGCCATGCATTAGCCCAGGCTGTGTCAGCTCAGTGCAGCTCCTTAGTCAGGCATGGTGTCCTTAAGACAGAGCCGCCAATGGGCCGGGAAGATAGCTCAGTGGTCTAAGCACCTGCCTGGCAAGTGCCAGGTCCCAAGTTCGATCCGCACTACCATATGCCGTGCTTACTCCAAAACTTGGCTTGGTGGCGCACACCTGTAATCCCAGCCCTGGAGAGGGTGAAACAGGAGCATCAGTATGTCTGAGCTATGTAGTGAGACTCTATATCCAATAAGATGAAGGAAGGAAGGGGGGAAAGAAGGAAGAAAGAGGCCAAGAAAGAAAGAAGGAAAGAGGCCCTGAAACCTGAAACTTGAAGCTGCTTGAGGGGACACTCAGAAAGCAGCTCGGTGGTTAAAATTTAAGAAGAGAGAAGGGAGGAAACCCACAAAGAGTGGTCGGAGGCAGTGGGGTGAGGTGAGTGTTAGCCCTGAGCACACCAGTGGTAGGTGTGAGCTCAGGGTGAGGCTGGGGCAGGACAAGGGGGAGCCCTGGCAGAAGGGGAGGGGTTGTGACCTGAGGCCCACAGTGCTGTGTGGGGAGCCAGGTGGCACTGCCCAAACCAACCCTGGAAGCCCATGGTCCCCACGCCCTCCAGGAGCCCCACAGCAAAGCAGGACAGGGGAAGAGCAGAAATGCAGGGACGTGGCCGTCAGCAGAGCCCTTTGACCCTTGTGTCACTGGAGCAAAAAGCCTGAATGTAGTGTGTGATCCTGGATTTACCAGCACATTCTCCCGCTTGGGGAGCCAGGGATATAGCTCAGCAACCTAAGCATCAGCCTGGCAAGTTTAAGGTCCCGAGTTCAAGTCCTGATACCCCTAATGAGATAAATAAAATCCAGGCCCAGGAGGGAGCCTTCCAGGGGGCTTACTGTTTAGCTCAATTGTTTACAATTGTTTAAAGCGCTGGTTAGGCAACCACAGTCAGTTGCAGGGGACCGCAGTTCAATCCCCAGCTCCATAAGCCATACCACACCCACCCTGAAGGCAGCCTGAAATAGCAAAAAAACCCCTTCTCTCCTACTTGGAATGTTGCCAGGTAACTGTCAGCGTTCAGAGTGTTTCCCTCATCTCCAAATTGATTTAAGGCTGATTTCAAAATAAAGACAGATCTTACCAGCAAGATTATTCAGCCACAAGGAATGTGGAGTCGGCCCCTGGAGGGGATAGACAGCGTAATGCCAGCCAGGGAAACAAATGTGGAAAGTTGTCCAGAAATGATAGCCCATGGGCCAGGGCTGTGTACTTCCAGACCAGATGCCCTTCAGAGTAAACATGGAAAATGTGGGAATCCAGAAATGCAGGTGAGGGGAGGCCTGGGCTCGCAGCCAGACCAGCCCGAAGTCTGAGCTGAACCAGGGCTCTGAGGTTGGGTGATGGGGGCCCAGGGAGGACACCAGTGCGGCCGGCACGGGTCCCGCTGAGCTCGTCTTTCGTCGAGTCCCTGTTTCCTTCGGTGTCACCTTGACACTGGAGCTGCTCGTGGGGGTGGAGCTGCTGTTCTGCTCTCTTTTGTCTCTTGTTCCACATCCTTCCACGTCCATGGCTTATATGGAAACCTCTGCAGAGTGCATCTGCCTCCCTGTGTGTGGTCACCGAGAGCCTGGGAGAGCCAGGCTGCGTGGAAGCGTTGACAAGGAAACGCAGTCCCATTTGTTTTTGCAATCCCTGCACCAGGACCTGCATCCCCCAGGCATACAGGGCTGGAGCCAGCAGCAGGGTCATAGCCCCCCCATGTGTAAGTTCAGTGACCAGTAGGTGGTTTGGATTTTTATCATTTGTGGTTTTCGTTTAATTTAGGACAGAGGCAACAGTGGAGGGTTGCCTCTGTCCTAAATTACCTAACAATATTTGGCCCTTTTACTTTGTTATTTTAAGTGCTACCTTTCCTCCCAGGCCCTACAGGGCAGTGATGGGTAAACAAATCATCTGTTTTGTCAACCTGAAGTTTTTAGCTGTAAGATCCTTTTGTCCTGTGTTTATTCTCTGTAAGTTTGTGACTTCGAGCCTTGGGGGGGCCCCTATTTTAGAGGAAATTGATTATTCAGTGCATGTTTCCCACGCCTACTCCAGAGTTTCCAGGCTTAGATTTTTCAATAGATGGGCCTACTTTCAACTGTAAAGTCGTAGCTCATAAATCACACCCTACCCATGGTGAGACTGTCCCCGTGCCTACATTTTATGCCACTTTGAGGTATGGCCCTGATTCCCACCTCAACCAGAAGTGCAGGGTACACTTGAGCGAATCACTGAAGAAACTGAGGAAGGGGATGTACATGCCGAGGTCAGGGAAACTCAGACAGGCCAGGAGCCCCTGTGCTGGCTGCAGGGGCCTTGGGCTCAGGGGCGACATGGGGCCCTGGCTTGGACAGGGACTGGACAGAACCAGAGCCATTGTAGCGCAGAGCAGTGGTCAGACCCAGCCTGCAGGATGGGCCTGGGGTGGAAAGGGGTGGCTCCCACGGGCCGATGGGCCGCAGTCAGCATCGTGGCTTCCTAGAGCCACTTTAGGCTGGGGGGCAGGGTGTTAGGAATTGAACCCATGGCCTCATGCATGCCAAGTACATGGTCTACCATCCAGATTAGCGCCTTCTCCATGCCAGGTGGTGTCCACATGTTATAAGGGGTGAGTGTAGATGGCAGAGCGATTACTGAAACAAGGGTAGAAGCTACCCAGGACTCTGGTGAGAACCCTCCTCCTGTGGAGCCCAAGTCCTGTGACTGAGTTGGTGGAGAATGAGCAGGAGTCCTTCGGGGGAAGCGCTGTGTTGATGGGCAGGGAGTGGGCTGGTTATCTGGGGTGCTGGGAGTCTTCCCTGGAGCGATGGCCTGTGAGGGTCTTACCTGTGCAGAAATTGATCAGCTTCACACCTAAAGATGCACCCACTGTGTGTTACCCCTGAATTTACATGGGAGTTTTTTTTAAACAACTTAGTTTCCAGAGCCCTGACTTCCTTCCCGACCTGGCCCTTCCTTTTGGGGAGCTTGGGTGGTCACCTTGCTTCTGTCCCTCACAGCCCTCACCACAGGATGGAGACAGGCAGGTGCTGTGAAATTCAGAGGAGCCCAGCCCATGGTAATCACTCAGTCAAGCCAGCCATTGTGTTGCAATCATAGCGTCCTATTGTGTCGGACTCTTGAGTGGTAGTATCGGGTTTTTTTCTTCTTTTTCCCTATTTACTAAATTTCCGATCCTATCTGTTCATCCTTTTGTTCAAAAAGACACTAATGGGCCGGCGAGATAGCTCAGCAGACTGAGTCTGCTTAGGCAAGCACAGGGACCAGTGTTTGATCCTCGGCACCATATGCTGGGCCTGCCCTGCCCCTGCAGCACTGAGCTGGCCACTGAGACCGGGTGTGGTGGCACACACCTCCAATCCCAGCACTGAGGAGGCTGAGACAGGAGGATCACTATGAGTCCAATCTGCATAGTCAGACCCTGTACCAAATACATTAAAAAAAAAAAAAAAAAAAGACACCAACATTGTGCAGGACACCTGCCTGGCACCTTCTCCCTCTCTTCTATGATGCAGTCAGAGCCCACGCTCTGCACACCTGGCTCCTGTCCCCTGGCCACACCTTACCCAGGCTGGTGGCCTCAAGCCCAGGAACCCTCCAAGGACTTTCCACAGGCTGCATCATGTGTCCCCTGTGTCCCATAGGCCCTGGTCAACTGGGACCCCGTGGACAAGACGGTGCTCGCCAATGAGCAGGTGGACGAGCATGGCTGTTCCTGGCGCTCAGGCGCGAAGGTGGAACAGAGGTTCCTCCGGCAGTGGTTTATCAAGACAACTGCATATGCAAAGGTACGTGTGCACCCCTGGGTGCCCTCCAGGGATGTTGCCCTCCAAGATCCCCAGGTGCCTGGATCCCCTCTGGGGTGACTGGGAAGGGCTCTTGAAGTTGTGGGTGGGAAGATGGGAAGCAGGAGCCTCGCCTCCCTTAGTTGCAGGGCATTGGGCACGGGTCACCCAAGGTCATTGTGTCTGGCATGTGCTGACCCTCTCACCAGAGGCCAGAAATCACCTTCATTGTATCAAGAGTTCTGCACTAAATCCCAGTAAGCCAAGAAAAGCAGGCAGCACCTTCACCAGCATGGTTCTATGCGCTCTCCAGTGGAGAGACGGAAGTTCCGGGGCACAAGGAGCCAGGAGATGCCCTGCCCATGAGGAGGCCGAGGGGCACAGGCAGCAGCAGGCCCCTTATTCAGGGCTTAGGGCTCTGAGGTCAGGGCTCTGCTCACTAAGTGGCTGAGGTTCCATCACCCTGGGGATGCTCAGTGCAGTGTGCCTCTTGGGCCCACCAGTTTCCAGGTTAGCCACTGAGTAGCCCTGAGATAAGGATGGTCCAAAAGAGACTTCCAGTCCAGTGCAACCCAGGACCACAGTTCTTATGCACAAAGAGCATGGTGTTCTAAGTAATTTCTGATCCCTACAGGCTTTGTCCAGTTGGACTATAGTTTGCCAGCTCTTGTCCTGGACTCTGTGCCCTCCAAGTCCCCAGAACTTGTCCTTCGGAGGTCTTCCCTATGTAGGTAGCAGGGCCAGGGAAGCCTCCTGTGGACTGTGGACTCCATGCCAGCAGCTTAAGCACAGTGACACAGGTAGCTGCAGGAGTAGGCAGAGGCCCTGTGTTAATGTCACCAGGATACCCCAGTCTACAGTGGCCACATTGGAAAAGCCACCCATCAGCCCCTTTGTTCCCACCTCTGCCTGGGGCTGGCACTGTAATAACCCTAGCAGGGCATTGTTCTCCTAATCTTAAACAGTGGATTCCAGCTGCTTGGCAGAAATGGTTGGTTTCCATGGCAACCCACCTGCTGCCTGCTGCTACCCCATGCAGACTTACTGAGAAAGCTGCTTTGGGAGTCTGGCAGAAAGCAGAAGAGGGAAGCCAGGCTGGGGGAGTACCAGCTGCAGCGGGCACAGTGGGGGCACAGCGGGGGCACTGTGTGCTGGAATGGGGATGATGTTGCCAACAGGGAACAAAATCAGAGGGGCTCACCTGAAGAAACAGGAAGACTGAGCCTGAGAGGTTCAGAGAAACTTCAGAAACAAAATTCAGATCTCCAAGGGACAAAACATAACCGAGCCCCTACAGTGTTTCCTCTACATTGTCCAACACAATAGAAATCACCAGGCTTGCCAAGAAGCAGAAACTGGCTCCTTAGCAGGCAGCAGATGAACAAAGGGCGGTGCACTCAGGGGCAGTGGAGATGAGCCAGAGGAAGGGACGGGCAGAGGGAGCCGCAGGCCGCCAGTGCCCACGGCTTGATGGGTACGACGGCCCCGATGAGTGCGCGTGGCAATCTCTGAGAGTGGGAACTCTTCCGAAAGGTGACCCAGTGGAGCCTGCCGTGCTGGCTCGGGCCTAAAATCCTAGCACTCCGGAGGCTGAGAGTTCATGGCCAGCCTGGGCTGCATCGTGAGACCTTGTCTCGGGAAAAATGTGAATCAACAGCTGGAAATGTAGATTAGAGAAGCACAGTATCTGAAATGAAAATTCAGTATTTGGCTGGAGAGGGCTTAGTAGGAGCTGAGTAGACAGTGAAGCAAGAAGGAGCCCCACCGCCACGTACAGGAAGCAACGCAGCACCATTCTGGGACTCAGTGGCCTTGTGCAGCACAGGAACTGTCTCCAGAGACTCTGGCCTGGAGAATGACTCGGATTTAGAAGCCGAAGAAATTTGAAGCAGCCTTCAGGTCAGGGTCTTCCTTCTTCAAATCCCTTTCCTGACCTAAAAACAAACAGCAAGCAAACAGAAGCTTTAGTGCTTACCTTTACTGCTGCTTGAAACGGGAACACCAACATGCTGTCCAAAAGCAAATTAAAGCAAAGGCCCCGGCCAGGGTGCAGACCTGCAGTAGAGCCCTTGCCCAGAGGGGCCAAGCCCACGTTCTTAGAGCATCCTACACCTTGGTTTCCAGGGGTGGAGCTGAGTGAGTCCCATCCAGGAAATCCTGCCCCACCAGCACGGTGTGCAGTGGGGGGTGTCCACACAACCAGGGCTAGGACAGAGCCAGGCTCCAGCGGGGTCCCTTGGGCCTCCTCCACGTCCTTTCATACCGAGACAGTGTGCCAGTGGCAAGCTCGGGGTGAGTGGGCACAGGAGAAGGCACCAACACAGAAATGGGAAGGCCCGAGCGGAGGCTTCCAGTTTGTTCTGCTGAGACCTGCTCGGCATCATTCCCTACCCGCGCCTGGTCCTTGCCCCAGGCCTTCTGTGCCCCAGTGCTCCGAGAGGGCACAGCGAGATGCACCCCAGACAGCTGCTGCCTGGGGGGAAGCAAGCAGTTGTTAGCAAAGTTCAGTGTAGTTTGTTTCAAAATGAGCGTTCTTCCTGAAAGGGACAGCTTTCCGCAGTGCCTTCCGCTTCTCCTGAGGCTGTGCTTCCTGGTCCAGGATGGCTAACTTCAAGCGGCCGAACTACTCGGAATAACAGAGCTAGTCCTTGCTGGAGCTGTAATAAATGAAACGGCCTAGGTGAGCTGGGCTCCAGCAGCTTTCAGAGAGTAATTTAGCAGCATGCTGCTAGCTGGAAAGCATGCACAGGCGTGCACACGCCCTCAGCTTCCGCCCTAACATAAGGCTGATTCTCAGTGTAATGCCCCAGTTTGGAGAGAAAAATGCTGTCCCTCAGACACCATCGATTGTAAATGTCCCCATTTCAGAGTGTGTTGGAAAAACGTGCACCTTAGAATCAACAGAAGATAGGACAGGAGAGGGAGGAAGGAGAGGGCTGTCGTGGACATCTCCATGGATGCTAAGCTCAGCTGTGGGCAGCTGGTCATTTTCTTCATCCCTCTGTCCTTTCCAGATTTTTCAGAAAATGACTCTTTCCATTGTAGTACACATAGAACCAACAGCATGATGTCAGACCCCCGTCTGCCTGGGCGCGAGCTCTCCAGGCGAGCGCAACACCACAGGGCCTTCCTTGCTCCCCTCTGGGGTAGAGGCACAGCCACTGTTTGTCCGATCTGCCTATGAGCGGAGTCCAGGCCTCTGGGGTCTCTTGGGCTGGAGTGCAGTCCAGTGGTAGACCACTTGCCTGGCATGAAAGAGGCTCTGGGTTCTGTCCTCAGCACTGCAAAAAGGGAAAGAAGAGAGAAATCTCAGGTGGCTTGGTGACTGCCTTTTCAGTGTGATGGTGACATTTCTGTACTTGTGGTCACCATCTCGTGAAAGTTAGTGGAACTAGAATGGTTCTGTTGCCAGATGGGAGAGGGGACAGGTTTCTTTCCCTGTTCTTGGTGTCCAGAATGAAGAACTGGTTAAGACACAGAAGAGGCAGGGGGTGTAGTTTTATTGAAGGTGAAAAATATGTACTCTCCATAGGGAGAGCTGGCCAGTGAAAAGGCTCATGGAAGCCCAGGGATAAAGGGGATCTTTGATACCCAGAACATCTGACTGGGCCTCCACGTCTTGTAAATAGAACATTAAGACAAGACAGTGGTCCTATCATAAACTTGCTTGACCTCTCACTAGATATAAATGATGGATCCAAAATTGTGTCTTTGGGGGGCCGGCAAGATAGCTCAGTGGACTAAAGTACCCGCTTAGGCAGGTGCAGGCAAGCACAGGGACTGCGGTTCAATCCCTGCCACCACATGCCATGCTAGCCCCTCCCCCAAGGCAGGCTGAGCCAGCCAGAGTCTGGGCATAATGGTGCATGCCTATAATCCCAGTGCGAGGGAGACTGAAAACAGGAGGATCACTAGTTCAAGCTGCCTAGTGAGACCCTGCCACAACCAAATACATTTAAAAAATAAAGAAAAAAAGAATAAAAATACAAATTGTGTCTTTGTATTTGTTGTGCATGCCCAGATGTAAGTGAAGGATTGGGAATGGCACCTGCTGATTGGTCCCCATGCAGTGCTCAGGAGCTGGGAGTCTGGAGTCCTTTTGGGTCCAGCATTCTTGCCTTGGCCTCTGTCTAGAGGAAGCATCTCACTCCACCATTAGCGTGGGTTTTTGTGACTTCCGCCACATCCCGCCTGGCTGATTGTAGGGTTTGCCTGAGCCGAGCCCTGATCTCTCAGTTCTGCTGTTTTGGCCCCTACCAGGGTCAAAAGGGAACAACAGACTCAAAGCATGCCCCAAGCTAATTCCAGATTGGCTGCCATGAGCTTCCAGGCTCCTGTGCGCCCTCCCCGTGGCCCCCACAGCATCAGTTTCCAGGGAGTCCCTATGTGTGTGTTCCTCTTAACAAGGGTTTGCTTTGCTTGTGTTTTTGTTTGCATGCTGGGGACTGAACCCAGGCAAGTGCTGGAAGCTGTTCTCAGCACAGCCCGGCCCTCTTCCTCTCTGCTCTCAGATACTCCCTGCGTGTGTGAGCAGATGGGGGGCCTCTCCTCCTCCTGCGCCTGCATCCGTGGATCCGCGCCCTGACAACCCCTGCACGCACCTTCCGCAGGCTCCTTGCTCAGAACTGCTTCATCCCCTGCTGGGCTGGCACTACCTTAGCTGGACTCGGACTGCAAGTAGCTCAGTTGCGTTTATAAGGAAGTGTCTTGCCCTGCAGTGCTCTAATCAGTGGCTGCTGCCAGCCAGCACACGTACCATGTGTTAGGGGTAGAGTAGGGCTGTCGGGGTGGTTTTTAAAAATATGTATTTGTATGTCTTCTCTAAATTCAGGCAAGGCAGATATCAGGCCAAGTGGGATTTTTATAACAAAGCATTTTCATGTAAAATTTTATGCCAAAGGCAAAGCAGAAGAAGGAACTAAGGTGTAAGTGTCCTTTTCCCTGGATGCCAGGCTGTCCGTCTGCAAGCTGAGTCGCCCCAGCAGCTGAGTGTTAGAAAGCAGTTGTATTTTTAAATTGAAACCTCAGTGTTTAGGCTTAATTGTAGCGCTGGCACTGGGATGAGTAAATGGTTTGTGCTGTACGTTGGGCTCTCGGCTTTCTAAAGGCGCGCTGTCCCTGCCCTAGACTGTTCTGGAAGGGAGTTCTAGAGCGTCGAACAGCACGCTGGCGTCAGCATCGATTTGTCTGTCTTAGACCTCAAGCTTTCGTTGTCTTCAGAGTGCAGTGCATGGGAATGATTCCAAAAGAAATCTTCCAATAAAGACATCTTGGCACCAAAAATACATTTTAGAAAAGTATACAAGTTATCATCCAAAGATAATTGCCAATCAAATCACATTGATCAGAAGTATGCCAAGTGTTTGACTTTTTAAAGCACCCATTTTAATTAGAAGTTATTAAATCTTGTCTCCCGTTCTCTCAAGTGTAAGCTCAGTCCTCAAGGCCCTTGCTCTGCAGCTCCCCTCTTAGTAGCCACTAAATCTACTTGTTTTAGAAATCTGTATTTCTCACCAAAAAAAAAAAAAAAAGGAGTTCACCTTTGGGCCAGGGAGATGGTTCAGTGGAATAAGTGCTTCCCTGCCAAGTACAAGGGCCCTACTTCTAATCCCCAGTTCCACCAAAAAAAAAAAAAAAAAAGGAGAAATCTGTATTTCTCTGCTCACCTAACTTTTTCTTTTAACCCCAGTCTCCTAAAACACATCATGTCTTTTACGCTGCTTATTCAAGAACTCCTTCTGTGGTCCTGTTGTGATTATTCTTAAAGCTTGAGCTCACACACGCATCTCCTGAGTACTGTGGGTTTATTCCTAGCATTAGTGTCCCCTTTTGATGAGAGCCAGGCTAGCTGTGTTGCCTTTAATCCTCTTTTATCCACAACTTTTTAGTCTTTCTCTTTCTTGTTCCTCATTATATTTTATGCTTCTGGGGCTTTTCTTTCCAATTGGATGCTGCTCAGCCTGTCTCTACGTGGCCCCTGTTCTTAAATACCTGCTTGTATTCTGACCTATTCATGAGTAGTTCCCGGTCGACCTCTTAGAACATCTCTGTTTAAGTAGGGTCCCCACGGAGCAGTGGCCGCGGTCTCTAGCCCTGGCCTAGACAAAGGGCTGTTGGGCCCTTGCTTGCTGCGCTTTGTGTGTGAGTCTGGGTGCTTCCTGAGAGCCACAGGGGAAGTGTCGCTCCAGATGAGATCTCGTAGAGTGATTGCTTGTAAAAACCCAGTTGTGTTAATTTCTGGGTTTTGCATCTGGAAGAAGGCTGGCTTCTGCCTAATTTATGCAGAAATATCTGAAAACAGCACCAAAGTCCCAGAACAGTCAGGAGACGTGGTAGCTTGGCATCTGGGATCTTCTGCTCACTGGTTGGGTAAATTAGGGCAGCCTCCGGTCTTCACTGATCACTGGCGAGACACTGACTGCCTCCCTGGATTCTGAATGGTGTGAGTCCTTGCGGCTCGTCTGGGGACCGGGCAGAAGGGAGCTCCGTCCCTCAGCTCTGGCGCTTTCATAGCACTTAAAAACAAGTCGAAGACACCTGCTTGCCTGGGTTTTTGGATTCTATGAGCTGCAGGACTTGGATAAATTGAGGTGAGGGACAGCTCTAGCTTGCCAAGAGTGAGATGGGAACAGCTGCTGCACCCCCAAAAGAAGGGGGAGATAATCTCAAACCTCAGCCAAACAAGAGCAGCCCCTTAGGTCATAGCCTCCCATTTCAGTTAAGAAAGAGTTACTTTCTTAACTCGCAAGTAAAGAAGTGGCCTTAATTCAAAGGGGGGTTCCAAAGTTCTGCTCCTCAAATGCTAGCCCTGGGCCAGGAGACAATTCCAGCCTAAGGCAGATCCCAAGGGGGATCATTATGAGTTTGAGGCCAGCCTGGACTACAGAGCAGACCCTATCTTAAAAAAAAAAAAAAAAAAAAAAAGCCCTAAATAATACATTAATTATGCAGAGGAGGCTAAAGAAAGCTCCTCTGTTGGTTCAAGACAATGGTTTCATCTGGTCAACTTTTCAAATTTCTTTTGGTTGTTAAAGATATTCATAGATTTGCTTAGGTTTTAAGCAGTCATTTTTTTAGAATTAGCATATGAAAAGTCACATTTCATCCTGTTTGAATCCTTTGTCCTCTTCTGAGACCTGAATATTTTAAGCAAAGCATCTCTACCCGGTTTTCTGGCCTCACCCATTCAATTATGAAGACAGAGTGGGAGGGCAGGTGTGCAGGGGCTGCCAGAGCGCTGTGGGGCTCGCATCTGGATTGGGGCTCCTGGATTGGGGCTCGCTCGCTCCCCAGCATGCAGAGAGGGCGGGTGAGTGGGTGAGAGCCAGCCCTCAGCTGGGAGCTTTTGTTTCCATCCCTGACTGTGGGCAAGAATGCGCAGACGCATCCCACGAAGGTGTGAATGAGGCGGCTTGGCTTTGTTAGTTTCCTTTCCTCCTTGGAGCCTTGGCTCCCTCTCCTGAACCTTTGCCACCTCCTCTGAGGCTGGCGCATGATAGGGGAGAGGACATCCCCGCCCCTGTAGCGCCCCGGCTCTTCCTGCCTAACAACCCCAAAGCACGTGCTTCCTCCCAAAGAGCTTTGTGCTCTCCCTGTCCATCTTCTCGTTCTCAGGCCATGCAGGACGCACTGGCCGAGCTTCCAGAGTGGTACGGGATCAAGGGCATGCAGGCCCACTGGATTGGGGACTGCGTGGGCTGCCACCTGGACTTCTTGCTGAAGGTGAGTGGCAGTGGTGTGGTCTCCAGGGCCCCACAGGCTCCTTCCCCATCCTGAGACCATGCGGGCCCCAGTCGCAAGCTACATAGCTCATGTTACATTGTCTGTACACTTCTTAACTCACAAGTAAAGAAGTGGCCTTAATTCAAAGAGCCTTTTATTTACCCCTTTAGGTCTATTAGCGCTTCAAGATAGTAGCCATAAACATGGTTTCCCACAGAAACACCTACTTCCTGGTTTGGCTCAGTCTCTGAAGCACACCTATTCGCTGCCACACTACCCACATTTCAAGTGCATTGCGGCCGTGGGTGTTGCTGGCCCTGCACTGGCCACAGCAGATAGATTGTCTTTGGGGACCTAAGGATGCCCTGGAGTCCCCTTGAGCGGGTGGTCCTCAGCTGTCACTCTCCTCAGGTGGGTCTGAGTCTGGTTGAAAAGCTAGGGAGCAGAGGCCAACGTGCCTCAATTCTGACATGCCCAACCCTGCTACGAGGGCTGTGAGCACATCTGATGCTGATACAGGGAGAAAAACTGATCTTGGGTAGGTGACCTCCGAGTGATAGTGGGAACCTCCAAGTGACGTAGGGAAAAGTGATCTCCCAGCCTGACCTGCGCGAGTTCATGTTCTCTAAAACCGAAGAATGAATTTTAGGAACAAATGGAGGTTATGAGCAGAATGTATTTATTGAGGGGAAAAAAGCTCCTGTCTGAGAGAAGGACAGGAGCCCCCCCCCACGGTTGTTCCCCTCACCCACCCCCAAAGCTGTGAACTCGCTAAGTTGGGCATGAGGTGGGACAAAACTTTGGTCAACCAATGAGATTACAAGCGCCATTTCTCAGGTAAAATTGATTAAATCCAGTATCAAATGGGGAAGTGAGTCATGTAGTAAGTGGGCATGGATATGGGACAGGGTCTGTTCCTGTTGGGGGTTGGACTTGTGACTCATTTGGGCTTTTTCAAGGTGATTAATACCTATTTAGGATATCAATCCGTCATGCCCATCCCTAGGGAAGTATGTGGCTGTGTTTCCTCTTTTGTCTTGGTCTTGAGGTGTGGCCCATATGGGAGTGTCTGTCTCTTCCCAGTTGTAAAGTCACCTTGTCTTCCATCTTGTCTCCTTGAGGGCCTGACCCTGTCTGACTGCCTATAATATTTCTATCTAATTTGGCTGCCTGAAACAGTGACACAGGGACAGGAGGGAGGCCACCACTGGAGGCCACCTGCTCAGGTGAGGGCGCAGGACTCTCCTCAGCCTCTCCTGAGAGTCCCTCTGTTGCTGCTTTCTGTTTCTTTTTTTCTTGGCTGAGACAGGGTCTCACCGTGTATCCCAGGCTGGCCCTGAACTCCTTCTGATCCTGCCTCAGCCTCCAAGTACAGGGATTACAGGCGTGTGCCACTGCTCCCCCAGGTCTTCTCTGTGTCACCTGCACACTGCCGATCCCTGCCCTGTGCACTGTGGCAGCTCTCAGGACGCTGTCACATGCCAGCCGTGCATGGCCACCCTTCCTTGCTCTAGAGACAGCCATGACCCCAGGACTGATTTTTCACTGCAAATTGAATTGCCTTCATTTTTTCAAACCTCTAAATCCTAGAGGGAAATACAGCTCCATTTTCCAGATAGAAGCATGGCAACGCTGATGTTTTTTGTTGTTGTTGTTTGTTTGTTTTGTGGTACCGGGAATTTAACTTAGGACCCTTGTACTGAGCTATATCCCCAGCCCATGATGGTTATTTTTGATTTGTAGCAGGAAAGTGTCCATCTGAGCAAGGGCTCACCTCCTTAACTTCTTTCTCTTCTCTGCCGCCAGACCCTGCCTGTGTCCTTGCACCAGACAGACAGATAAATGGATGGATGAGCTGTCCTTGGTTGCGCAGAGGGGAGGGGTGGGGAGTCCTCACCCAAGGACCCTTACAGCTCCTGGGCTCTGAGCAATAGAATAACCCTCGTGTCCTCCCGCCAGGTGGATGGGCGTGACACCAGAGAAAAGCTGACCGCCTACACAGCTACCCCAGAGGCCATCTATGGTGCTTCCCACGTGGCCATCGCCCCTTGCCACAGCCTCCTGCATGGGCACAGCTCTCTTCGGGAAACCTTGTGTAGGGCCCAGGCACCCAGCAAAGGTGAGTTGGCCACTACACTGGTGGCCCCTGGCCCGCCTGACAGTTATCCCTTCCCAGAGTGCATGGCCCCTCTGGTGGTCATCCTGTGTGGTGAGTTCTTCACTTTCACCTTAGTTCTTACTTTTAAAGCAGGATGATAAGCCAGGCATGATATGTTGCACACCTGCAGTCCCAGCACTCAGGGGGCTGGGGCAGGAGGAGTTTGAGGCCAGCTGGGCTACGTAGTGAGTTCAGGGCCACCCTACGCTATGTAGTAAGACCTTGTCTCAAACACGTTAAGTACGTTAGGTAGGAGGATGGAAGAGCTGTGGAAATGAAGGCGCTTGCCCCTGGTTTCACCTTGCCAGCAACTACTGAGTGAAAACTCAGTGCTTTGCCTTTCAGTATAACCTCAGTTTAAAGTTCTTTGCTGATTGGAATGGACTCTCCTCAGGAATTTTTCATCCTACCACTGAGCAAAACTGTACCAGAAGGGACAAGATGGAAGCCAGTGAGAATGAGACAAAGTTTTGCAAGCCTGCCTTTGATGATTTGACGGTCACCCACTCAGGCACACAGGGTCCTGCCAGGACGGGGTCTCCAGACCCGTGCCACGCATGCCATCAGCCACCAGGTCATGGAGGCTTAGGGGGGATCAGGATTGTGGGGTTCCAGCCCACAACGCCCCCTCTGAGTGGCCATAGGGAAAGGAGTCATTGTTGGAATGCTTCAGGCTGCCACCACCTCAGAACTAGCTGGCAAGAGGACTGGGACCCCAGTAATGGCAGGGCCAGGGCAGCAGGGAGAGGCTATCCCTGAGTGCCGCTGTCAGCAGAGGTGGTGCCCGAACGCTTGGTCCAAGACACCCATGCAAGGAGTTTGGAGCCACTGAGGCCCGCAGGGCATGGGAGCATCTTTGGTTGAGGAAGAGAGGAGGGGAACAGCTTCCTACACAAACTCCAGAGGCTCCTACCTGAGGCAGGGGTGTGGGGTGGGCCCAGGAGGGGAATGGAAGTCCAGGTCGATTAGGAGTAGGTCTCTGCAGTAATTGAAGTATTTCTACGAAAACTTCACACTTACTCCTTTGCCCAGACTGCACATTTCAACCCAGAGGACACTGTTGGGGTCACTGGGACCACGATCTAAAGCAGGGTGTGACTCAGAGCTGCTGCTAATGGTGACAGGAGGAGCAGAATGGAGTGTGTCCCGACAGCTGGTCAGAGAGAGACAGTGTCATGGAAACTTCCCCTGCTTAAGATTCTCATTGTTTCCCCGAGAGCCTCCTGGGCTGGGCCACTCGCATCCCAGGAGCGCTGCTGAGTCAGATCTGAGACGGCCACGGATGCGAGGTCACTGCAGGGCACTGTCCTCACCTGGCCTGCACTTCAGACAGCAGCACCCTCCGGAGTGAGAATCACAGCCTGTGGCTGCGAGCCCGCTGTAACAGTCTCTTCAATTTACTTTCTCTTCTTACCCAAAAGAAAAATTGGGTTCTCTTCAGCTATGTTGTTGAAAGAAAAACTCATCATTTTTATGCTCACAAGTGATATGCGGTTCCTTGACGGCTATGATGGCCGAGTAATGTCCGCAGCTGAAAAACGCAGAAAGGTAAATTTCTAACCTTTACATTCTTCTTCTTATGGTTCATTTGGGGACACAGATTAAAATGAGGTAATTTTAGTAGGAGACTAATGAACAGATAAATTATAAAAGACAAAGCTCCTGAGATGAAAGAGACTCTGCATTCAAAACATTTGCACATGTGATAAGTGCAGAAGTTAGTGTAGTACATGCAAACAGCGGTGTGTATGTGACCGATTGGGTGCCGGCACTGTGGCCGTAGGGTCATTCATTTTGGGAAGCATGTCGGCAAGAGTAGTGTCCATTTGGAACAGCTCCTCCGGCCCCTGCGCAGTGATCTCTGCACCCTGGAGCGGCACAGCGGGCGCTACATTTTCCCAGAGTGGAAATACTATTTAGGCAGGTGTCGGGTGATCACTTGCGTTTGCACATCAAGACCTTGAATTTTGTCACGTGACACTGTGGTCCCCTGAGCCCAGTGGGTGCACTGACTATAATGTAACTTCCCCAAATGAAAGGGCCCTAGCAGTGTGAGAGCAGGTGAAATGAGATGACCCACAGACCCTGGATCCGTGCCCCCTCTGGCCCTTCGGTGACAGGTAACCCAGAGCGTAGTGTCCTGCTGCGGGTTTCCATCAGGTGTTGGATTTCAGGTGACTGTGTTATGGCCGTGACCACTGGGGGTCCCTGTGGTGGAAGCCGCTTGAGTTTAATACTACCAGGGCCTTAAATTCCCCCCAAAGTGCCTCCCGTGGTAACTGGTTTCTACACTTGGCTGTTTGTTCACTCAGGTGACTGTGCCTGCCACTTGGCCGTCCTGTTCTGAGAGGAAGGAGGACGGTGGCTTCTGGGTGGCACTTCCTTCCAGTGTCCAAGTCCAAGGCAGTGGGGTTGGGTCCTGCTGGAGCCCCTGTCTTTTGGCCCTGCGCAGCACAGGTTGTTTTCTAGGGTTCCTGCTCTCTGCTGACCACCTCTTCCATCTCACTCTGTGTGCTCGGGCTTGTTAGGGATTAAAAGCCCTGTGAGGCATCACAGGAAAGCTCTCAGAGCCGTCTGCCTTTCCCTGGAGTCTGTCCTCGTGAGGCTGATGTGAAAGTATTCAAACCCTGGGGCTTGTGTGGCCATCCCCACAAAGAAGCCCGATGGCCTCTCATGGTCACACGCTGTCTCCTCCTCCCCAGGCCAGCACCATGCCTGCCCCCTGATCCGCAGACTTGCCTAGCCCAGGTGTTCCGTGCCAGCGGAACCACAGGACGCCTGTCCCTTTACAGCTGGCTTCCGTTTATTTAGTGTCATGTTTGCAGCACATGCCAGTGCCTCCTTCCTCTTTGTTTCCAAATAGTGCTGCATCGTGTGGGCGGACCACATCTTGTCTGTGCGCTCATCAGTAGAGGTCGCGTGCATGATTTCTCCTTCCTGCGCCACCGTGCGGGGAGCAGCGCTGCTGTAGGCTCTGTGCACATCTGCTTGGCACTTTCATTCCCTTTGAGCCTCTGCTGGGCGTGGAGCTGCCACGCTGTTCAGTAACTCCCTGGGAAGCCGCGGGAGTGCCTTCCAGCTCCAGCCAGTTGTGCCCCCGCATCCGCGTCAGGACTTGTCGTTGTCTGTCTGTCTGTCTGTCCCACTGTCCCGGCAGGTGTGAAGGGCAATCTCGTGGTGGTTTTGCTGTTCATTTTGCTGGTTGCTGGTGATGCAGGCATCTTTTCATACTCACATTGCCCGTAAAGATCATCTTTGGAGAACGTAAATTCATGTATTTTCTTTGATATCTATCTATATATGGTTAGAGATAATATATCTTATTTTATGTTATATGTTATATGGATATTATATCTATTATGTTTTATATATTATGTAGGTAATATGTAATTATAGACAAAAAATACATAGATTGATTTATACATCTTCTTCGGAGAAATTTTTATTCAGATCTTTACCCACTTTAATTTTTATGTATCTGTGTATATTCAGTGTCAGATATATGCTCACAAGAAGTTATCTTTTGGGCTGACAAGATAGCTCAGCAAACTACAATGCCTGCTTAGGCAAGCTTAGGCAATCACAGGGACCACGGTTCAATTCCCAATGCCACATGCTGTGCCAGCCCCACCCCCAGGCTGGGCTGCGCCAGCCACAGAGTCCAGCATAATGGCGCGTGCCTGTAATCCAGTGCTGGGGAGGCTGAAAGCAGGAGGATCACTATGAGTCCAGGCTGCATAGTGAGACCCTGTAACAACCAAATACACTAAAAAAAAAAAAAGAAAAAGAAAAAGTTGTCTTTGCATTTTCTTGTTAGTTCCTTTAAAACACAAATGATTCTTTTCCTTCTTTTCTCTTTCCTTCTCTCTGTCTTTCTGTCTTTCTGTCTTTCTTTCTTTCTCTGCTGGGCTGGAACCTAGAGCGTCATGCATGACAGAGGAGTTTTATCACATCCCCCGGCAAGGTTTTCATTTTGATGAACTCCCATTTATCATTTGTCTTTGTTTCTTTGCTCCCTTTGCTTTTGGTGTTAAATCTAAAAAACTATAGCATAGTGAAAGGTTATAAAGGTTTACATGTATGTTTTCTTCTATGGATTTTGTAGTTCTGGATCTTGGGTTAGATCTTTAACCCACTTCAAACAAACAAACAATACTAACAAGATAGCTATAATAGTGGCCTCCTTGCACAGCTGTGCCTAATTATTTTAGGTCAGTGGACTTGGAGTGTGAGTGTGGTGGCTCTGATGGGTTCAAGGGTAAGCAGAGGTGTCTTTCCTGCTTCCGGGCAGTGGGATAGGCTGAGGAGTCCCTCTTCTGCCCTGCCCTCTAGGGTTTTTGGGGTGATCTGCATTTCCTCTTCTTCCAACACAGGAGCAGGGCTGGGATCAGCAAGCCTTTTCCTTTGTGGTCGCAACCTAAGTTTCTTCTGGCCACCTGGAGGCCACCGGCCACTGCACAGGAGCTAGATGCATCCAGCCAGCCCACTGCGAGATCACAAGGGCAGATACAGTGTCAGCGCGGTGAGGGTGGCTTTCTGGGGTATACCTGCATGTCTGTACGAGTTGCCAGCCCAGTTGCTGTCTGCCCCGAGTCCTAAATGTGACCTTGGAACTGCCCCCCCCCCCCCGTCCCAACCCCGGCCACTAGTGAATGTTTAATATCCTGCTGCAAAACTGGTGAGTGGCATCAGAAAGCACAGTCTGGAGTCAGCTAAGAGTCTCCACTCTGGACGACAGTGGGCACCGCCCAGTGGGTGCATCTGCGCCTGTGCCCAGAGCCTCAGCCTCCCCATGACTCACTCTGCCCCGGCCACCCCATGGAAGGGATCTATGCTGCTTTGATGCCTCCAGGGCTACCTTCGCTCTTTGAAGTATAAATCCTAACTCCTGGGCTTATTTTAATTTGGGAGTTTTAAGATATGCTTTAGATAATTACCAAAGTCTTAAGACGTGACAAGCCTTAGGGCATGACTCATACTTGTAAAGTATGAGTTAATCAGTTATAACAGTCAGTGGCTGTGTTCTGAAGACATTCAGTGAACTTGCTGCTGTAATCGCCTATTTACCGGCTCTCTGCCTTCTTCTCTGGGTCTTGATTTAGGTCTCCCCGCTTCCCACCCTTCTCGCTCTTAGTGAAGATAGGCCCTTTTGTTTTCCTGTTTGGATCCTACTCTGATCCTTTGCCTCATTTCTCCCCTGGCTTTGCTGGAGCACATGCTGCAGCAGCCCTGAGAAAAGAGCACGGGGAAGGAGCTGTTTCAGGGAGGACGTCCCAGAGCTCCTCCTCCTGCGCTGCTGTTCTCTGTCCCTGTCTACTTCGTCATCAGGTGTTGTGATTTGGAACTTCACCTCTCCTGCCCGCGCTAGGGACAGAGTTCAAGTGTGCTGCTCTTCTGTGTATATTAGAGATGTTTTTCCAGTGGAAGAGTAGAATGTCCTTCCTCCCCACCTGGAAAGCCAACGCGCTGCTCTTCCTTCTGTGCTTATAAGCGCGGATGAACGTGTTCTTCTGTGCTTGGTGAATGTTTTGGTGCTCCTCTGGGATCAATTTCTTTTTTTTACTTTTTTGTTTTTATGAGACAGGGGCTCAGTAAGTAGCCCAGGCTGGCCTTGAGCTGACAGTGACCCTCCTGCCTCACCTTCCTAGTGCTGGGATTACAGGTGTGCGTCACCATGCCTGGCATGAATTTCCTATTAATACCTTTCAAAAGATACACTGTAATAGCACAGAACTCACAAGATCTAATGCCTGTTTTTCTCAGTTGTCTTCTGAGATTTTGAGGGGACCAATGTCCCTGGTGACAGATGGTCTGCTGTCCTTTGCAGATTGTCTCACTCCTGTGGTGGCTGTGAACATGCTCACCTGGCGGGAGGTCCCCGTTGTTATCCTGGCTGAAGCTGACCTCGGAGGCTCTCTGGATTCCAAAATAGGTAAGCAGTTATTTGAGCATCATTATCATCACATAATACGCAGGTTGGGGCCAAACCCGTGTGCCGCTGCCTCAGAAGAGCCAGCTGTGGAGTCCAGCTGTGGTGTGGTGCCTCCAGAGTGCGGCCTGGGGACTGAACTCAGGGCCTCAAGCGCCCTGGGCCGGTGTCGCTCCAGAGCTCTAGCCCACCGCTTTCCCTTTCGTATAGTTGCCCTTTACTGAAGAATGACATTGGAAAACGTTAATTATGCAGTGCCTGGCCAGTTACCAGTAGTCAACCGTGTCTGGCCATGGGCAGCGTTACCAAGGGTGGGAGTGAGATGTACGCCATGGGCCTGTACGGCTTGGATGAAAGTCCAGTCTCTAGACTCTGCAGAGCCCTCAGCGGGCGGCAAGGGAGCACTAGTGAAGCCTTGGTGGGAGACAAACTGGAGCTCAGGAGAGGACTGTAAGGCAGCAGTGCAGCTGAGGTGTGGGTAAATCCTCATGGGGTGTCCTCGGAAACGGTCACCCTGCGCAGGAGGGCTGGGCCCACACCTGGCAGCCGGCAGGGGGCCCTGCCAGTCTCCTTCCTGTAGGCCCGATCCACTCATCTCCCTGCAGTAGATTCCAGCCCTCAGATCACACCTGTTCCCTTGCAGGGCTCTGATCAGCCTTTGGTTTTGTTCTGGTGGTGCTAGGGGCGGAGCCCAGGCCCTCCACCTGCCAGGCCAGCATCTCCTCTGAGCTGCTCCCAGCAGGGGGCAGGTGTTGCTGAAGGGACCACAAAGCGAAAATAGATACTAAGCCATCCAGATCTCCTCTTCTGTTTATATTTAGGACAGGGTGTACAGGGTGTTCAGGGTCTCGCTGTGTAGATCGGACTTATAGTGATCTTCCTGTTTACAGCCTCCCAAGTGCTGGATTACAGGCATGTGCTACCATGCCCTGTCTTCCTCTTCTGTTTAAACATAAACACAATCTCTTCTATTTAGCCCATATGCGTTTTGTCATTAGGAAAACTTATTAAAATAATCAGTTGAAATAAACAATAAGAAAGCTCTTGCTAATGTGACTGCTTGGATTTTATTGTTGTTCTTTGATATTTTGAGGATTTTTTTTTTTTTTTATTCCGAATGCCCTCAGGGGTGGTTTGGCTGGCTGGAGTGTTGTGGGGATCGAACTACAGCAACCCGAGGCTGACAGCTTTGTGGAAGCAGCACGTAAAGCTCTGAGCTAGGGCCAGGCCCCCTGTTCTTTGATATTTTGAGTGAAATCATTGACGCAATATTGAGAGTTCAGAAAGGAGAAAAATAGGCTTCTTAGGTGTGTCTGGGAGACTCCTGTGGCCACGGTTCCTTTTCACTGTGTCATTGGCATTTTCTAATCACTATTCCTTGCCCTCCAGGAAGGGCAGAAAGAAACAAGAAAACACGAAATAAAGCTGTATTTCTGCCATCCCGCAGTACTGTTACCAACAGTTCCTAATACCACCTCGTGGCTGAGAATATTCTATATATGACCAATTAAATTGTGTGGTCACCGTGTCTCCTCGCAGTGTTACTGCTCTGCTTGTTACTCCAGCCCACGCTTGTGTGTAGTAAAGACCTATTTCTGCTCCTCGGCCATCAACCCCCTGTTAGGTTTATTGCTTGCCATTTGTCCTCCCCCTCGGGTCCGCTCCACATGGCCTCACTTCAGCCAGGCTCTCAGCCGTCATCTCAGCTGGTGCCTGTGGCACTCTGCATCCTGTTAGCACTTGGTTTCTTGCAAGAAAAAAGAGCTCTCACATGCATCTCCCCACCATCAAGCCACGCCGGGGGGAAGGGGTCCCTTGGGGGCCGGGGACACTGCACCCATGCAGGGAGCCCTGTTGAGTGGGATCAGTAACTCTGCTCAGCCCTCCCTGATGCATAGAACTCCCTGCAGTGGAGCCCCCAGCACCGAAGCACCCAGCTTGAAAAACAGCACCCTCCCACCAAGTGGAAATAGCCTGCCCAGAGCCACACACCGCTGGCAGTGGGCTTCCTCAAGGATGTGCGGGGGCAAAGGAAGGGTCAGTGCCCACTTGGAACACAACAGTTGTCAGCTCTCCATGCCCAGGGGCATTGCTTAGGGTTTGATGTCCCTGCACCTCAACAGAGGGCCTCTGTCCTCACCATTGTGGGATTGAAAGAGGGGCCTCTCAGGTGTTCATGAGCCACTGTTTGAGCACCCCGTGTCGTATTTGAGCATTCATGGCTATTGAAAAGAAACCAGGCTAGGGGGACAGACTGAAGGAGCGGTGCATCTGCCGGGTGAGCCGAGCAGGGCCTCTTCGCACAGACAGGTGTGACACAGGTCTGCTGCGGGAAGTGCCGCCTGTGTGCGCCAGCCCTGTGGTCACTGTGATGGCCCATGCAAAGGTGTCTCGCTCCCCTCCCCCAGGAATTCCCAGCACCAGCGCGGAGGATGCCCACCTGGCCCACGCCCTGGGCCTGCCCTACTCCAGTGTTATCGAGACCCTGCCTGATGGCACAGAGAAGCTGCGCAGCTCCGCCGAGGTGGGTGCCTGGCTGTGCCTGAGAACTCCGTTCTGGAGCCCTGACCTTTCTCCTTGCAGAGGCAGTGACATCTCGACTGTGCTTCTTTATCTGGAAGAACAAAATGCAAAGTAGCCTTGGTTCATAAACGTGGTTCTTTCCATGACTTTGGTCACAGACCAAATTGGTCTCTGAGTCCAATTCATTGATCAGGTTCCATGTTGACCTCATGGGCAGTTTAGATGTAGAACTCTCAGAGGCCCTCCTGCCTCAGCCTCCGTGGAGAGGAGATTGCAGGCACGCACCACCTTGCCCAGCATGGCTTTTATTTGTGTGAGTCCTTGTGTGCAATACATGCTGATTCCTTTCCTCGTGGGGAGCTTTCACAGGGACAGAATTCACCTTCTTCCCATCCCTTCTTCCCCTCTCCCTCTCCACCCCTCGTGCTCCCTTCCCGAGGGTGCTCTGCTTTCTTCAAGAGATGGCTGCACTGGGCTCCTCTTCCTAGGGAGAGGTCTGTGCTTTCCCGGTCGCTGACCTCTCCATCTGAGTGAGCTCAGGTAGGAGAGGAGGTCTGTGCTGTGTGGTGTGGGCAGGATCATCTCCTGGTAGCACAGACGGCAGCACAAAGCGGTGCGTGTGTGCAGGGCTGGGGCCAGACTCTGCTGAGCCACACCCGAGAGCACAACGGAGACCTCTGCACCGTGCCCTCCCGGGCTGCCGGGGCTCGGGAATGGGATTGTCGTTTGCACAGTTGGTGTTCCTGGCCTCTGTAAAGTGGGGATATTTAAATATGACAGACAAGTGGCATTTGTCTTCAAGCCATGGTCCCCCTTGGTGTCTTTAGGAAAATAAGGAATTTTGCTTCTCGGGGTGTTTTCCCTCCAGCAGGGAGGAGAATATCAAATCTACCCCGTGTACCTTGTGGGGCTTTGTGTGTGTGTGTGTGTGTGTGTGTGTGTGCACGTGCGCGCGCAGGGTCTCACTACACAGCTCGGACTCGTAGTGATCCTCCTGATTTCTGCCTCCCTAGCACTGGGATTACAGGTGCGCGCCACCATACCTGGACTCCATCACGGGCCCTGACGCCTATGCTTATCTAAGCAAGCGCTTAGTCCACTGAGCTATACCAGCTGTACCACAGGCCCTGCGCCCGTGTCCTGCTCCCTGGTGTCCAGGTGTGGGGCTCTGGTTATCTCCGCAGCAATGTGGGCCCAAGTGCATGGTACTTTTGGCCCCTGCAAAAAAGGTTTCGCTTTCTTCTAAAATCTGAAGAACTTTGGGGGTCAGAAACCATATTCATATTTGTATTGTGCACATGGTGGCTCGGCTTGGGTGGCCAGTGCTTTCTCTCCCACAGTTCACAGGTCTGACCCGGCAGGAAGCCTTCCTGGCTGTCACCCAGAAAGCACGGCAGATGCGTGTGGGTGGTGACGTGACAAGCAACAAGCTGAAGGACTGGCTGATCTCAAGGCAGCGGTACTGGGGTACCCCGATCCCCATCATCCACTGCCCAGCCTGTGGCCCGGTGCCCGTGCCCCCCGAGGACCTTCCTGTGACTCTGCCCAGCTGCATGTCCTTCACAGGCAAAGGCGGCTCCCCGCTGGCCACTGCTTCCGAGTGGGTGAACTGCACCTGCCCGAGGTAAGGCGCCATGGCCCCATGGGGACAGTGCCATGACCCAGGCCTCCTGGGTGGCTTTGAAACTCAGAGGGGTGGGGAGCAGGATGTCAGACAGCCCCGACCATGTAAGATGGGGATGTGGGCTCCAGGAGGAGTCCACACCCACCTTTACTGACAGGGACGAAGGCTTCCCTGCTGGCCAGAGAAGGAGGGGAGGATGGTTCCCAGGCTTGCAGACTTCCTGGAGAGAGTGGAGGCCAGGGCTGACAGCCACTGGGCAGTGCCACCAGGTGGGATGGCACAGGCAGGATGCAGCCACTGTGCACAGCACGCGGGGGCTTCCCAGCTCTGTTCCAGTAGCCGTGTCTGCAGCACGCAGCGTCACACTCGCTGTGGGGAGCTGGCCCACTCCACAGGATGCCTTCCTGTTCCTGTCTCCCTCCTCTCCGTCACTGGCCCCCTTGGCTGGAGTGCTGTCTCCCAGCTTCCACTGTCTCACTCTTACCGCACTCTTATTTATGCTTCGGGCTTCTCACAGAAGCTGGGGAGAATGGAATTCCTCCTTGTAGCTTTCTGAGGTTCTCCGTGCTGATTCCCTAGTGAGTGTACTGGCGGATTCTTGACTCCTGAGCATCAGGGCCTTGGGTGGGTCTCATTACTTCTCTGAAATTCAGAAGGCAATGTGAGCAGTCAAATCTTCTCATAACCAAAGATTACTGGGGACCAACCAAGATGAAGCTCTGAACGGGCGTCCACTCCTGGCATCGTCACTGTTGCCGTCAGAGCAAGTGCTGCCCCTGCTGTCACCGTTGTCCACACCCGCCGCCTGCCTGGGGCCTTTTCCTCGTCACCTGGTCATCAGTGTCTGCACTGGAGCACAGCTGTTGTCTTCAGGCCCGGCAGGCCCTTGGAAGGGAGCCGTGAGCCAGAAGCCAGCAGTTTCGTAGGGCCGCGCACTGTGTGTGCTCTTTTTGCTGACACCCATGTGCAGGGGAGGTGAGGAAGAAAAGGCCCCTTCTGTCTTCTTTTTTTTTTTTTTTTTTTTCTTTCTTTCTGTATTTAGGGTAAGGTCTATAGGGTCTCACCACGTAGATCAGACTCTAGCGATTCTCCTGTTTTCAGCCTCCCAAGTGTTGGGATTACAGGCACGCGCCACCACGGCTGCTGTACTCTGCCTAAGCAGGTGCTTTAGTCTGCTGAGCTGTCAAGACGGCCCCTCTATCTTCTAATTATTTCCCAGCATAGTGTCTGTGTTCTGGTTAATCATACACCAAATAAGAAGACCTGGATTTTCTATAGGTACACGATTGAGATTGCAGCTCTGTGTGAAGGAATCAGGATCCTGGGGCCTTGCTGATAAGCTCATGCCTAGTGGGAGGCCTCGAGACTAACTTGGGGGCTCTGGAGGTCCAGGACCCTGCAGAACCCTTGGCTTTGAGCTCTCTGCCCAGCTCCCTTGATTTTATCAGTGGGTGTGGGTCTGGAGATGAGGAGTTGGCTTTCCCTTCTGTAATATTGGTAAAGCTGATAGAACTGCCTCACAAATGCAAATTGAAAATGCAGCCCTTTTTTTGTTTTAAAATTAAAAACAGACTCAAGTCCTTGCTTGTTTAGTTAGCAGCAGATCTGTCATTTCCTCCCAGGCTGCTCTCAGGGAACTCAAGGACACCGTGGCCTGAAGTCCCAGGGTGGGGGCAGCTGGCCCAGGACAGGCGGCATGGCCTCCTACTGCCCTGGGCCCCGTGCTAGGCCCACTGGAGGCACTCTCTGCTTCCTGGGTGGAGTGGCTTTCAGCACCGAGTTCTGAGCCGTGCCCCTGGGGTGATCTAAGAGTCAGCTGGCCCTAGGACAGAGGTTTGTTTTCTTTTCCACCCTTCGCACTGGGAGCCTCTGGAATGCCAGGCTCTCTCCACCCTCAGCACTGTGCTCAGAAAGTAGGGACAGCCGGCTCCCTGTGGGACTTGCGCTTTGCAGTGTTTGCCAATTTCTATGGCAGTTGCACCCCTAACAGAGCCTAGTTCAAGCCATAAACTTGATGTCACTTGTCACAGACTTGAGAGAAGAGGCTAGCAGCACTCCTCCAAGCTGCTCAGAGCTGGGGCCAGTACATCACTGCCTCAGGGGCTTCCAGGGCCATTTGTCTTCCTGGTGGAGTCCTGTGCCCCTCGCCCTGGAGCAGAAGTAGCAAAGAAAGCCAGGCTCCCTCTGCGGCATGCCCTGCTGCATTTGGGCTTCAGTTCTCTTCATACATGCAGATGCTTAAAAGCATCTTAAAGCTGGCAGCAATTGAAGGGACCCTCGTCGTGCCTGAAATAGATGGCAGCTGCAAAAGACACAGCCTCGTCTCACCTTTGGGAGTGCTTAGATTTTCTGTCAGGTTAACCTGAGAGAAGTAGATAGTAACCTTTCAAATGTAGAAGTCTGAAATTTTTATGTTGCAGATTTCCTTAGCACATCAGCTTTCTCTGAATCACCTTCCTGATGTGGCATTGCTCTTATGACATTTAAAATTCCTACTCAACATGACTGTCCAACAGCTGATGGGAAACTGAATTAAAATTTAAAGAGAGGGCCGGGGAGATGGCTCAGTAGAATAAGCGCCTGCCTGTCAAGCGCAAGGTCCTGAGTTCAATCCCCAGTACTGCAAAAAAAAAAAGTTAAAGAGAATCTAATTAATGAACTCTGTGCATTTCCTAGGTGCAGAGGAGCAGCTAAGAGAGAGACAGACACAATGGACACCTTTGTGGACTCCTCCTGGTACTACTTCCGGTACACGGACCCCCACAACCCTCACAGGTAACCCCCTGCCAAGGTCGCTGAGGGCATATCACCTGGGTTCCTCAAGGACCAGCCCCTAAGACGGAATTAGAAACATCTAGGCAGGTCCAGGGAGAGGAGCCCACAGCCGGGGTACAGAGGTGGGGGGCGGGCTCCAGCCTGGCCCAAGGTCCCCAAGTCCTGGGAGCAGCCAGGTGGCACAGACTGGCAGGAAGAGACCCAGACAAGGAGCAGGACGCTCACGAGCGGCACAGCGCTGGCCTTGCTGAGCGAAGCCCTGGGTTTGATCCCTAGAACTGTGAGAACAAGGCAAGAAATAAAGCCAGGCTCTCTTAAAGAGAGCGTGCTAAATTCACTGCCAGGGAAGTCCTTGTGTAAGACCGATCAACAGGAAGAGGGAGGGGAGGCTTTTACCACTCCATCCTTGCTGTGCGCTGATTATTACAGCTATCACCCTGTAATGTGATTTTCCTAAAAATAATGAGGTAGGAAGGGTAGAGGGTAGGGGGTGGGAGAGCGGAAAGGCGTCGTATCTTGTCACATAGTCAGTAGGTGACTCCCAAATCGGTGAATCCCTAAGAAGATGAACACAGCTTTTAAATAATTACCTGAAGAAACATTAAGAGTCAAAATGGGTAAGGGACAGCTTGGGAGGAAGGGGAATCTTGGGGCTAAAGTCCTGTCTTGTGATAAATCTTTCCAGTACTATTTTTATGTAGATATGTGTGTGAGAATGCGCAGGCATGTGCATGCGTGAGTGTGTACATGTGTGTTTCACTACCAAAAAAGAGTAACAAATTAATGGAAAGAAAAAATTAATGGAAAGAGACTTAAAAGGACCTTGCTGGGTGGCCCTCATCGAAGCTAGGAGCACTGTAGAGCCGTGTCGTGTGTGGACAGAAACGCCCCTTACTCTTTGTTGGCTGTAAGGTAATGCATTTCTGGTGAGAAGGGTGCTGCCACCCTCCCTTGCCAGAACCCTGACCTGGGTACTGCGGTCTGCGATTGGAGTTGTGGGAAAGGAGTGGGACACAGGGTGCCAGCTCAGGCACACACCCGGGGCCTTGTGGTAGCCTTCCGTGTGGGAGGGCTGCAAGAGCGCCCCGTGGAGGGCCAGCTGGCTGGGATCACCCTGTCTCGGCTGCATATAGAGGTGCAACGCCAGTGCCATGCGGCCCCGTGGTTGGTTCCAGGGACATCCACTCATGGTGGCCAGCACAGGCCCTCACTGCCTGCTACGGTGCGCGCCAGCCCGGTCCCGCTAGCGTGGTTTCTGGGCAGACCATGCATCGCGGCAGCAGTTGGTCAGCATCCCGCTCCTGAATTTATCCCCAGTTTGCTCCCAGTCAAGTACCTCCTTCACTTCTTTTACCGCTGCCTGGATCTGCAATCACATTTCTTTAGGGAAATTTATTTCACAAAGAAAAAAAAATTTTTTAACATACAAGAATGTTGGCGTGGTAACTGGAGGAGAGGGATGCGGCTGCTGCCAAACACGAGGCGGTGGCAGAGCCTCCCCACCTCCTGGATGCACTGGGAACTCGGGCTGGCCGGGCAGGAAGGACTCACAAGATCCAAAGCCTCTGGGTCCAAGCCTCCAAGACCACGGGAGGTCCCAGCCTGGGGAACAGAGCGCCCATCCCACCCGGCGCTGCCCTCTTCATCCAAGGCTCCAGCGGAAGGTGGCGGGGTGGAGTTCCCGCGCCTCCTCTTGCCTGTTAGGGCCAGGCTCGGAGGGAGCCTGCCTCTCAGATGCATGCTGGCCTCTGTGTATCCAGCAGGTGAGAGCCGCTAGGCTCCTCTGACAGCCGTGCCCTCACCGCGCTCACTTGCAGTCAGTGAGCCTGTACACAGGCTCCTGCTGACTACTTAAAGCTGCTTTTAAACATAAGATTGAATTTATTTTAAAATGAATTTCAGCACTTGCACATTAAACTAGCTGAGTGCCACTTTGCCCTCTGCTGGTAGGAACTCAGTATCTCAATTGTCTAATTGTAAGAAAAATTAAAATACATCAAGATACTCAAAGGCGCTTCATACTGATACCTTTTTGCTAATATGTTCTTCTCATTTTATATGGAAATTTCACTGACTAAATACTTCAACTGTGTCTTCTACAGCCATCTATATAAATCTCATACATTAACACTGGTCTGGCTTCTTTTTCTTTTATTATATAAGCTTTTCTTTTTTTTTTTTTTTTTTTCCTGGAACCGGGGATTGAACTCAGATCCTTGTGTTTGCCAGTCAAGCGCTTATCCTACTGAGCCATCTCCCCGGCCCGAAGCTTTTCATTTAATATATTCTTAAATGAAAATCCGATTTTCTGTGGCGTAATTCAGTTTGGGGCACATGCACGCTGCAGTAGGTGTGCCTGACTCGCGCAGCCGCGGCACAGTGTGCTTCAGACGCCCCTTTCTCTTTCTTCTAGACCTTTTGACTCTGCGCTGGCAGACTTCTGGATGCCTGTGGATTTGTACGTCGGTGGGAAAGAACATGCGGTCATGCACTTGTTCTATGCAAGGTTCTTCAGTCATTTTTGCCATGACCAAAAAATGGTCAAACACAGGTGAGCATTTACCCTACTTTGCAGAAGATTGAAGCTCGCCAGTGGTGGCCTGAATTCGGGTCAGGTCTTCAGAAGCAGGGTCCGCATACGCAGCAGAGGAGCTGTGCCCCGGAGGTCATCGCCAGCCTTAGCAACCTGTGTTTCTGCATGTTGCTCTCGGGTTCTGGAGTGTGCTGTTGCACACCCACACGGAGTCCAGCCTTCTCCGTCTGTGTAGCTGAGGTTGGGAGGACGCTTCAGAGTGGTGTATGATGTTACAAGGGGCAATAGGCAGCTATAGTAAATATTTAAATTAAAAATATTAGCCAGGTGTGGTGGTGCAGGCCTGTAACCGGCACTCTGGAGGTTACAGGAGGATCACTACAAGTTTGAGGCCATCCTGAACTACATAGTGCAAACTTGTCTCAAAAAGACAAAACAATTTTCACTGCGGTAAAAGGCACGTGGCCATTCATCAGCCCTCAGAGCCCTCTCAGCTCACGCACTCTCCTCCTACCGTCCTTGCCACTTTCTGACACACTTCTACGATGTCCTTTCCTGAGCGTCTCTGTAAGGTGTGATCAAAAATCTGGTGAAGGCTGTCCAGATAAAGGCATCCAGCAGAAAGGCAGCTCATGGCAACGTGACCCAGTGTCCTCACCCACCTCAGTCACCAGCTATGGCACCATGTGCCTTTGGCTCTTCCCACATCAGAATGAAGGGAAATATTTTATTTTTAAATTTTTGTTTATTTATTTATTTTGTGTGTGTGTGTGTGTGTGTGTATGTGTGGCCAGCTCAGCCCACCAGGGGGCGGGGCTGGCTGGCATGTGGTGCTGGGGATTGAACCGCGGTCCCTGTGCTTCACTAAGCTTGTTGTAAGTAGGTGCTTTAGACCACTGAGCCATCTCACCAGCCCCGAAGGGAAATATTTTAAATTGACTCAGGACAGTGAGGCAGCCAGGACAGCACCTTCAACAAAGACCTTTGCAAAAGAACACTCCAGAGCTGCTTCAGAACGTGGCAAGAAGGATGAGATAAGTGTGGGCAAAGCAATGGGAGTACTTGGGGGAGGTCATGGCAGTGTGTCTTTAATATTTTTATTCCAACACTTTATTTTTTTACCTCATAGATTTTTCTAGGCTCTCATGTGAGGTCCTGCTTGTCATCGGTCCCTCTGTCTAAGCTCTGCTTCTATGCTTGGCTGAAACCTGCCTTCATGGATCCCTCTGATAAGTGCACACAGTGCCTTGGCAGGTAGAGAACCGCCATGTTTACCCACTGGTAAACTCTCGGCCTCTCGGCCTGTGGTCTGTTTCCTCATAACAGAAAAGTAAGGGATATGCTCTTCAGTAGATGTTAAAGAACACTTAAGATATGGTACACTTTAAGGAATAAAGTACCACGTCCCCTCCTTAATTAGGAAGTAGATGTCATTTTATTTTAGGACACCCAGGGTCCCTCCTCTACACTCACCATCCCCATCAGCTAACACTTAATCCTGAATTTCACGTTATTTTTTTACTCTCCTTTACAAATTGATCACTTCTGTAAAAATTTGTAACAATACATACTGTGTGGTTCTCCCGGGTTTGAACCTTACTTGAGCAGAATCACACTGCGCTGTCTCGCTGTCATTGCCCTGTTTCTTGAGAGTCACTGGTCAGTGCCTGAGGTGCTTCCTGTCATGCTGGGTGCATGCCACTGTGAGCAGGAGGCTGTGTGTCGGGGGGGGGGGGCTGTCCTCATAGGGCGCACACCTGGCCAGCTTCATGTGAACACCCCTCACTTCATGAGTTACACTTGAATTGAAAGGTACAGAATACTTTGGGAAGTTCAGAATTTTTTAATGTATCCCTGGATCTCTGTACCTCTCCTCTCCCATGACACTGTGTGGCAGGTCCTTCATTCTTGTGGGTTGTTCTGTTGATTGGTAGGAGTTCCTTAAAAGTCCTAGGCACAAATCCCCTTTTAGCTATATGGAAATATTTTTTCTTAGTTCTTGGTGTGTCTTTTTTGTCTTTTTTTAATGTACTGGGTACAAGGTCTGACTACGTAGCTCGGAATTGTAGTGCTCCTCCTGTTTTCAGCCTCCCCAGCACTGGAATTACAGGCATATGCCCCCATGCCCAGTCTCGGTGGCTGGCTCTGGACACCCTGGGGCAGGACCAGCATGGCCTGTGGAGGGATTGAACCCTGATCCCTGTGCTTGCCTAAGCAGGCGCTTAGTCCACTGAGCTATCTCGCCGGCCCTGGCTTTGTCTTCCGATTGATGGACACTCAATGTGGTGATTTAGGACACTAAGGTGGCCTCTTCCTCCACGCTGTCGCTGTGCGTGTCGCACTACTGCCAGTGGCACATGTAGCCTCTCCTAGCTGAGTGCCCCGCCCCTTGACCTGTGGGCACACACAGGGCCTGGTCCAGGAGCTCGTTGGCCCGGCAGTCTCTGCTCTTGGCCAGGCCAGTTGCACTGTTAGCTTCGAGGTCTTGAAATCTATCGAGAGCGCCCTCTTTCTTCTTTCTCCTCAGGGGAGGCCGGCTGCATCAGGCCTCATGTGCTCCCACAGAAGCCTCGCTGGGCGCATGGGCAGAGCTATGTTTTCCAGCGCCTTCTCTCACCCTCCAGATATGCGTCTCTGACCTCCTCTTCTTTTTTTTTTTTTTTTTTACTTCGCATGACATTTATTAAATGATTGACTTACGAGAATATTGATACATAAATGTAAAACTCTTCACACGGAGTGGACCTGGAGCCTGTGAATGGGCAAGGTTTGGATTCGATCCTTTCTACGTAAGCATCTTCCTTCCCGGATTATATCATGGTGTAGGACGCACTGGTGAGGTTTATGTCGCCAGAAATCCCCAGTCTGTTGATTGCTGTGAAGTTCCTCACCCGGTGGTTGTACTGCAGCAGGTGGGCGTCATTGACCGCCACCTTGAAGTGGTCAGGTTCCACCAGGACCTGGATCTTGAACTGTTTGCCTATCTCGAAGGGGAAGGCCTGCTGCCGCTCCTCCTGGCCCCAGGCATTGTTCTGCTTGGTGTTGCACACGATGACCCGCCTGTTCTCGTTGAAGCATGGGTTGAAGTGGAAGGCCACATCATTCCCTTGCTTGAAGTCCAGGGCCAGCCTGTTGGCGTTGGGCTTCACGGTGCCCATGATTGTTATGAGCATGCGCGGGACGACCCCACCAGGCAGGGGAAGGTCGCAGGGCACAGTCAGTGGTCCAGAGGGTGCACTGTAGGGGCTGGCACCAGGGTAGGCTCCGGGCGCAGCACCGGGGTAGGAGCCAGGTGCGCCAGGGCCTGGATAGGCTCCTGGGCCTGCCTGGCCCCCAGGAGGTGCCTGTCCTGGGTAGGCCCCCGGAGCAGGCTGCCCTGGGTAGGCACTACCAAGATAGGCAGCGCCTGGGTAGCCCCCGGCTCCAGGCTGGTTCCCCCAGGCTCCGGGCCACCCTTGAGGATTCGGGTGTCCAGATCCAGATAAGGCATCGTTGAGCGAGAAGCCGTCTGCCATCTTCCCGCTGCTGCGCTGCTGCTGCTCCGGCTGGGCTTGACCTCCACTTCTGAAGGCATTTTCCTCTTTTTTTTTAATGTATTCTTTAGAATGTCTTTTGTTTCTTCTATGGAAAGTCTATCTATTTCTCTAAAAATATACTCATTTTGGCCCTTTTAAAACAGTGGAAGGGGGCCTGCTGGTTAGCGCAGTTGTTTAAGCACCTGCTCATGCAAATGCAGTCAGGCACAGGATACCTTGGTTCAAACCCCTCCTCCACCTGCCTTATCAGACCTGCCCGTAAGGCACGCTGAGCCAGGCAAAAAACAAAAACAAATCCTTAAAACAGTGCCTGTGTGTGCACACATGAATGTGATGCCCGGGGTTGCTCCAGGGCCTCCCGTACCTGGCACTTGTGCTGTGCCTCTGAGCTGCCCCGCGCTCCTACACATCACTTGAAATAGACAAACCGTGAGGCGCAGAATCCTCAGCTCCTGCGGCCACCCCCCTCCGCCAAAACCCCGCCCCCGTCCCTGTGGCCGAGGTGCAGCCCCCTGCGCCTCCGCCCTCCCAACCCCAGCCCTCTGCATCTCACTACTCTGCCTGGATCTGGCTTGCTTTCCATTCATGCTGTGTGGCTCTGGGCTCCTGAGATCTGCAGGGTGGGTCATAGAAGCTCTATCCCTGTTCCTGCAGGTATCGGCCCTTCCTTGCCCCACCCCTGGAGATAGCTCCCAGGCCTCTGTCCCTCCTGACACCTCTCACGCCTCTCACGTCAGCGTCTCTTCCGGCTCTTCCTCCCCACTGGTGCTGATCCGCTGATCCGTTGACATCTGACTTCCAAGCTCTCCTCTGCCGATTAAGCCATCCTTGGAGTTTCTTGTTTCCATTGGAATGTTCTTCATTTCTAGTTCTCCTTTATTGTTTTTATAGTCTTGCTGCACTTCCAGCCTGTATTTCCCAAATATATATTAAACATAACTTGTACCATATCTGACTGATAATGCCATGTGACCATGGGCCTCGTTTAGTCTTTATTATTTCTCTTTATTCCTCAGGGTGCTTATTCTCCTGGCAGATGTTTTGAGGTGAGGGGTATGTTTTATTGATATGTTCATTTTAAATATTTATGGCATATATGTCTTTTGCTCTTTTGATTTAATAATGCAGCACATTGGTCTTTCCAAATCATCACATACAAATCTCCCATTCTTTTATTTTTTTAAAAATTTATTTATTTATTTTGGCTGAACTGGGGATTGAACGCAGGCCCTTGCACTTGCCAGGCAAGTACTTATTCTACTGATCCCATTCTTTTAAATTTAGGTATAGTATACCATAATTTATTTAAGTAGTCACTTTTTCCAGTTACTGTTACCTAAAAAACATCCACCAGTTTTCTTTATGATCTTTCCAAGTATTTCGGAGCTTATCTGTAGGTCCAGACCAAACTGTGGGTCAGGGAACATGTGTGGTTAATGTTTTGATAGATTAAAAATGCAGGGCCTCAAGCCCCCTGCGACACAGGCCCCAGTTCATGGGTGACGCTCGTCTCAGCCACCTTTACCCCCTCCGGGGGCTCCCTGGCTCCAAGTGGAGTAAGTGGGTTAAGAGAAGTCTACTGTAGGAAAACTAATTTAGGAGGAAAATTAAATGCTTAAACTAATTTTCTCCCCATTAGTCTCAGAGCCCTTCGTGTGTAAAAATAAGCCGAGCTACAGGAGGACGCAGAACACGTGCACAGCGCCGCTAGTGTCCGCATTAGCTGCCGTAGCTGCGACTCAGGCCCTTGGCTGTCAGCCCGCACGCGCGTCTCACCTGTGGAGATGAGCTCACTGCCTGTAGATTACCCTGGGGACTGTGTCCTGATGCTGTCTTGGTCTCAGGGTCTTCATAGACACTCTTTTGGGAGCGGGTGTTTTTCAGACAGGGTTCCCCTATGTAGCCCAGGCTGGCCTCCAACTCACAGCAGTCCTCCTGCCTCAGCCTCCCAAGTACCTGGATTACGTGTGCACTCCACCATGCCTGGCATATCATATATTCTTAGTGAATATTTCTTTAAATAAATAGAGCTTAGGAACCAGGCATGGTGGCACATGCCTATAATCCCAGCACTAAGGAAGCTGAGACAGGAGGATCACTACAAGTCCAAGCTGCGTGGTGAGACCCTGTAACAAATAAAAGATAAAAATTAAAAATAATAAATAAATAAATGGAACTTAATTTCTTGACATAAACAGGTGAAAGTCCCTATTCTTGGAAAGAAGTATCCTCCCTGGGAAAGTGAGACGTAAGTAGAGGTTATGGTTACAGACCCAGTGCCACATGGGCGACGTTTACTTTTCAGCTAAGACAAAGGCCATGTTTCTGGCTCCTTAACAATAGGTCATATGCTTGTCACTTTCTGAATAATCATTTGTAGAGTAATCAGTTAAGCAGTAGCAAGCTACCCTTTAGGACAGGGCCACCCTGAGCCTCGGGTGAGGGATCCAGGACTTAGGGCGCCGCTCGTCCTGCACTTCGGTTGCGTTGGCGCACACTGCCGTAAAGGGCGGAGTGGGCCTCACACTGCTTCTCGTTGCTGAAGGAGCCCTTGCTTGGTCTCCTGCCCCTGCATTCCAGGAATGCAGGGAGCGCTCCGGGAGTCCCCACCAGGCACAGCAGGCATTGGGGGGCACAGTCTGAGATGCCAGGTCAGTGAGCCTGAAGTTCAGGTCCACACGAGAGTCACAGGTGGGCAGTACCCGAGCCGCAAAATGCTTCCTTCCCTGGCAGTCAAAGGAGTATGAATCCATCAGCCCGAGGACGCCGTTGTCCCTGCGGTGAAGAAGCTGGGATGGGAGCTGCCCCTGCACTCTGCAGGAAGTGGGTTGGAACAGCCTTTCTGAGAAGCAGTTTGGTAGTCTATAGGACGCGCCTCAAAAGTGCACAGTCGTCGTCGTCGTCATTTGAGACAGGGCCTCGCTAGCCCAGGCTAGCCTTCAGGTTCCTCCTGCCTCAGCCTCCCAAGTGCTGGCTGACCGGTGTGCACCATCGTGCCTGACGCAAAAGTGCTAATTTTTTAAAACACAAACTATATTTCTAGAAATCTAGCCTGAAAAAAGCTGACTTAGGCACCAAGAGCTTTGTGTCAATGTTTCAAGTAGCTGGACTGTGACGGAGCCCGGCTGGCCCAGGTTCGGAGCAGAGGTGAAGCCTGCGACTCGGGGCCGTGAGGAGAAATGTTTCTGAAGTCCTCAAAAGTGGAGAGCCCCAGATGCCAGGGTACAGACGCAGTTGTTCGGCTCTGTCCTCACACGTGCACGCACACCTAGGCATGTTTGCACACATGACCCAAGGAGAGCTGGGAAGGACGTGCCCATGAGCCAGCACTCGTCCCCGTGGGCGGTGAGCTCACTGGTGAATTTACCACTTCTCAGTGCACTTCTCGTTTTCTCTAGGTTGTTTCCAACATGACTGTAAGTGCACACAGTGTACGTTCTGCAGAAGGGACGTTGATCTGTGGGCGCTAGGCCGGTGCCAGCTTCTGGTGTCCCGCGTTGCCAGCCACAGTGTGACAGAGCCCCTGTCACCCCTGCCTCTCCCAACCGAGCGGGGACAGCCGCCACAGACACACTCTTCTTTTTCCCGTCCGTGCAGGGACTGACTGATGGCCTTGTGAGTGCCCGCAGGGCTGTGCCACAGAGCTGTGCCCAGCCACTGTTGGTCTTCATGTTGAGACAGGGCCTCACCAGGTGCTCGCCATCCTCCTGCCTCGGTCCCCCACAGGGCCTCCGCACCCCGCACTAACACTCTGCTTGGCCATTCTTGTGTTGCTCTTTGTGAAATTCCCTGAACCAAAATTACCCCTACTGTTTGCAGGTAACAAGCAGTGGGGCAATGGCTGCTTGCTCGCTCGGCTTGCTGGGCAGCGCATCTGCAGAGCCTTCTTTTTGCCTGCTCTGGCCACACCACAGTATCCAGGGAAAAGGCGCTGCAGTGAGGGCCTCTCAAGAGAAAAGGCCTTCTTTTTGTGTGCTGCTGGTGGCTGCCAGGTGTGGGCATGGTGACACACCCCTGTGATCCCACTCTGAGGCTGAGGCAGGAGGACACAAGTTCAAGCCCAGCCTGGGCAATTTAGCAGCTTTGTAAGACCCTGTCTTAAAATGAAAAGGGCTCGGGGTACAGCTCAGTGCAAAGGCCCCGGGTTCGATCCCCAGTAATGGACAGAGACAGCGACAGGGAGATTCTTGTAGCTGCATCCGTGTGATGTAGCCCTGGTGCAGTGATTTTCAGAAGGTCACCTGAGGTAGCCCACAGCCTGTGCAGGGTGACCTTGTGCACCCTAATAAATAGCAGTTCTTCCTCCTCCCTTTTTCCAACTTTTCTACTGCAAGACAAGGTGGCATCCCTGCCCCTAGGGATCCATGGCTGTTGTTCCTGAGGGAATGGTGGCTGCACTGACCCAGAAGTGGTGACCTCGCTGCTGGGTTTGTCGTGCCAACATGGAGCTAGATATCAGGGCAGGGGCGCTGGCTCCCTGGGTTGGAACTGGAGCAACAGGAAGGAGACTAGGAAGAAATTGGGCCTCGACCGACCGCCTTCACTGACACCGGGGAGGAGGGTCCTTGTGGTCAGGGCTCGGTGTCTCTGTGTCACTGAGGTCCCGCTGTGCACCATGCTACAGCAGTTGGACACGTCAGCTGCCTCCTCAGGGTTCCTCAGCGCTCCCTCAGTGTGAGCAGGGAAATACAGCGCTGTACCCTGGGGGCGAACGTGGCACGTGGAGGGGCCCGTGCCCCGCAGGCCCTGACACCCCGCCTCTTGTCCCAGGCCCTCGCCTCTGCCTTGGTCAGTGCCACCTCCTGGGCACGGGTGGCGTTGGAGCACGTCCACCTAGCCCATCTGTCTGTGTCAAGCCCTCCAGCTAACAGACCAGCGCTCTGTCAAGTACTTGTTGACTGAATAAGTGTGATCATGTTCAGAGCAGACCATGCAGGCAGATGTGGGGGAGCAGACCATGCAGGCAAATGTATCTTTTGCTCCTTGTCCCTGATGCACCTTCTGGGGTGACACTGCAGTGCGGGGGCCCAGAAGGTACAACTTCCCAGGGGCTCTTTAACACTTCGCTGGGAGGGGATGGTGTGAGACAGGTCTCACTCCGTAGTCCTGGCTGGCCTTAAACTTACTGTGTAACCCAGGCTACTTGAACTCCTGACGCACCTCCTACCTCAACCTCCTGGAGAATTCTGAAGGGTGAAGCTGGAGGGTTTCATCAGGGCTGGCAGTCTGCAATTCTGCGCATGCCCAGGAGGGGATGGGACGTAGAGCCTCTCGCCTAGGTCTGAGGGCACAGCAGTCTCATGGCTGACCTGGGGCCAGGGCTGAGGACATGGGCTCTTCGCGACACCCAGCAGCCTCCCCAGATGGCCTTCACCACGCTTTGGGTTCATACCCTGTCCACCGTCCCGGCCCTGCGCACTGTATCATTTTGCATTCCTCCCCACTTTCCCTTTTTAAATGTGTCTTGTTCGCTGACTTCCAACGTGGGGGTTGGATTACGGCTGGCTGTCACCCGTTACCCTCCCTTCCACTCTCCTGTTCTCTCCCCGGGGCCCCACACATTAAGGAAAACATGCAGAAGGTGTCACAGTCTGGCTTTTGTCACCCAGCGTGGTGATTTCCAGGTCCATCCTTGTTCCCACAGATGACAGACTTTTGTTCTCCTTTCAGCTGAACCGTTCCGTGGTGAGCATGCCCTGCGCATTCTTAGCCACTGTCTCCGTGGTTCTGCGTCTCCGCTGCTGTGAGCTGGGCCACAGCGGCCGTGGTTTGGCCGTGGTTTGCAGGGCCCTCCGCTGTGCCGCCCTGACTCTTGGGTGCATGCCGGGGTGGTAGCCGTCGCACGGCAGCGCTGCTTTAGCTGCGGTGGGGTGTGGATTGGTGGCGTTTCCCGCTCACTCCTGCCTCTGCTCCCGGGCGCCTGGCCACGCCAGCATTTATCGGTCTCTGTGCTCTCGCTGATGGCCGTTCCCACTGAGAAGTCGGACCCTCTGTGTGTTTCTGATTTGTTTCTGTGGTCCCTAAAATGCTGGTCCCTTGTATCCTGAGACGCGTCTTTCACTTCCTTTGCCTGTTTATTGGTAGGCCTACTTGGGTTTTTGTTTGTTTGTTTTGGTGTTAATTTTTCAAGTTTTTTAAATACTCAAGGTGTTAATCCCCTTGTAGAAGAGTAGGGGCAAAGCCCTTCTCCCACTCCGCTGCTGTCTCTTGCTATTCCAGCTCTCTAGGCTGTTTCCCTTGCTGTTCAAAACCTCTGTCATTTGCTGTAGTCCGCCTTGCTGGTTCTTGCTGTTATTTCCTGAGTATTGGCATCCTTTTCAGGAAGTCTTCGGCTGTGCCAATGGCTTGGAGTTTTTCTGTGTTTTCTTAGCTTCACTGTTCAACCACTAAGGGTTTCCTTTAAACTACTTTTTACAGACACAATAAGAAAATCTGATTCATCATGCTGTAGAACAAGGTCGATGTTTTAAAATGAGAGAGAGCCATAGCCATTATGGAAAAGCTAATCCATGCTGGTAGGCCAAGGTGTATGAGGTCGCACGGCAGGGTCACCCCAGACCCTGTCCTGAGCGGGGTGAGTGCACGATGCTGGGCTCTGCGTGGGGAAGTCTGCAGGCCCAGGCTGCCGCCCACCTCCAGGACAGCTGTTCCCCCAGGGGTGTGTGGCTTTGTGGGCTTAGGAAGCTCATAACCAGCTGCCATGGGCCAGGGGAAAGAACAGAACCTGGGAGCCGATGACACTTGGCGTGTGGTTCCTCAGCTGCTGGGGTTCCCACCCGGGGCCCTACTTCATCCCTCTCCCAGCGCTCAAGCAGGTTTCCTGATGCCCATTTTACGGATTAGCAAACTGAGCCCAAGTGGCGACTAGCCAGGGCTCACGGGAGGACAGAGATGCTCAGCCACAGCGGGCCTGCTGAGCCAAGGCCTGGGCTTCCTGAGGGCAGCCCTGCTCTGCCCTCTGGCAGTGCCACTGAGCAGCCCCAGCCTCCAGTCTCCCCTCTTGTCCTCAGGGAGCCCTTCCACAAGCTACTGACGCAGGGCATCATCAAGGGACAGACGTTCCGCCTGCCGTCCGGACAGTACCTGCCACGGGAGCAAGTGGACCTCACAGGTGAGAGGCCCCGCCCTCGGCTCTCTGTCTGGGGGGTAGTGCAGACTGCCTGTCTGCCCAGCACAGACCAGCAAGGAGAGGAGCCAGCCCAGGGCTTATAAGCCTCAGCTCCGAAGGAGGTGTCCCCTGCGGTACAGGCACGGTTGCCGTGGATAGCGCTCGGGTTGTGCACTGTACAGAGGCATCCAGTAAGCTTCTCTGTGCAGAAAGACGCTTTTCCCAGTGTGCACGATAGTGCTCTAAAGAGCTCGCCCAGGCAGGGCTGGAGGAGGGTGCTCCCTGAGCTCCCCAGGCCTGGAGAACCTCTTCCAGGATGTCTGCGCTCCATGGCCAGGGCTAGGCAGGCTTGTGAGGTTCCTTCCCGTGGGCACTTGAGCCCCATGAGGTCACTGAAATGGGAAGCTGGGTTCCACTGGTCGCTGGGGAGTTTGGTTGAGCAGTCAGGAACAGAAATGGCCAGCAGGGTGCGCCCTTCCTGCGCATCCAGAAGCTTGAGGAGCCCTGCCCCTGCTTCCCTGAGCCTACTGAGCCCCTGCTGTCCTGGGCCTGCCCTGCGCCAGTTTCTCTCTGTAAAGTGACTTTGGGGACACAGTGGCCAGAGAGCTCGTGGCTCAGTGCCTGGGAATTCCCGCTCCCAAGAAGAGGCTCAGCCAGCTGCTGACCTCTGCACTTCCACAGCGAGGCGTGGGACAAGGTCCTCTCATCCAGACCAGGCCACCACCAGCCTCAGCCACCAGTACCCTGGGGCCTGCTGTGTGCTGGGGAAGGCATATCCAAAGATGCCGCAGCCGCCAGGCCAGCCTTCACGCTCGATGGCAGTCCCATGGGCACCGACGAGGCCTCCCCAGAGGCCCAGGCTGGCTGCCTCCCATGAGCCCGAGCACAGCGTGCAGTACACACTTTGTCCCTGCTCGTTTCTACTTCGTGTTTCGTTCGTGAATAATGTGCTTTGTGAGGGGGATTTGTTTTTCTAAAAAAAAGTGGCAGTGTCCATCAGAACTGTGCTGTTGGAGCCGGGGAGATAGCTCAGTAGAATAAGCACTTGCCCAGCAAGCACAAGGGCCTGAGTTCAATCCCCAGTTCCATTAAAAAAAACAAAACAAAACTGTGCTGTTCCCTATAAACGGCTCTGGGAGGGAGGCAGGTGCCTCCAGCTCAGACTCAGAACATCTTCACACCACAGTAAAGAGGAGAAAGAGGCACGTGTGGACTCTTCACACAGCGCTTGTCTCTGCGTGCCCAAATTTGTTCATTCTCTCTTCCTTGCTCTCTCGGGGGGTGTTATTTTGGGTTGTTTTTGTTTTTGTTGTTGTTGTTGTTGTTGTTGTTTTTGGTTTTTTTTTAGTGGAACCGGGAATTGAACTCAGGCCTTTGCGCTTGACAGGGAAGTGCTTATTCCACTGAGCCATCTCCCCAGCCCCAGTTATTTTGTTTTTGGAGAAAAGGTCCCACTGCATAGCCCAGGCTGCATCAAACTCCCCACGAGCCTCCCACCCCAGCCTCCCAAGTGCTGGGGTGACAGGCCTGCACCGTCACGGCTCGCCCCACACTTTCAGATCGGCTGTGCCAGGGGAGCCTCAGTCCCACACCATTGCGCATGCTCTTGGTCTCCAGGTTCTGTTCCTGTTCATGCGGAAACAAGGGAGCCACTGGTGGTGACCTGGGAGAAGATGAGCAAGTCCAAGCACAATGGTGTGGACCCTGAGGAGGTGGTGGCGCAGTATGGCGTGGACACAGCCCGGCTCTACCTGCTGTTCGCCGCACCGCCCGAGAAGGACATCCTGTGGGATGTGAAGAGTGAGCCCCCCCACCCTGTGTGGCTGCCCTGGGCCCTTGAGACCTGTCCCCAGTGGCTGTCGCCTGGTGACCAGGCGCGCCTCCTAGATACAGCTCCCGGCCCTCAGGCGGGGTGGCAGCAGTGGTTTCTGGTGACGCGATGCCATTTCTGGGCAGCGCCATGGTGGCAGACTGGCTCTGCGTGGCTCCTCAGCGGCCCTGTCCAAGCCACTAGGCCTCTTGTTTGAACCAAAAGGTTCCTCCCAGAACAGTGTCGCCCTCCTCCCCAGGCACAGCACCCCACCCGGAAGCCTCCCCTGCCTTTCCAGGCTCTGTCCCCACAGTCATGTGGCCCACAGCCGACAGGCCTGAAGTCATCCTGGGCATCACCAGGCTGGGTACGTGGCCCAGGGCCAGGCAGGCTGGTGCTTGGGCCTTGAGTGGCGGGCATGCTGCACCGGGTCTTTGGCGAACCTGCAGGTGGAGGTAGCAGGTGTGTGGATGCAGGCACCATGCTCTGCCTGCACCCTGGAGGCTGAGGCAGGAGGACTGCAAGGTCGAGCCCAGCCTGGCCACTTAGTGGCTTAGTGAAACCCTGGCTCAAAACTTGCAGCTCAGTGAGAAGGTCTGGGTTGTCACCAGCAACACACACACACACACACACACACACACACACACACACACGGCCAGGACGGAGCGAGAGAGGTGGTCACACTGACCCTGGCGCTGTGGCCAGGAGCAGACTTCAGGCCTTGGCCACAGCCGCCACTGCTGCGTGCCCCCCAGGCCCTGATGCACGGCCGCCCCACCCCCATTCCCCACTGCACTGTCCCCTCTCCGGGCACCCGGAATGGGGTGCTTTTGCCGGTCTTGCGCCCTGAGTCATGGCTCCGCACAGCCCATTCCCTCACCCTCACAGTGCCTCCTCCCTCCCCCCAAACCAGCGGATGCGCTCCCAGGGGTGCTGAGGTGGCAGCAGCGGCTGTGGAGTCTGGTCACCCGCTTCATCGAGGCCAGGGCTGCCCGCGAGGACCCACAACCTGCGCCACTGAGCAGCAAGCAGAAGGCGGAGGCCAGGAGGCTCTGGGAGTACAAGAATGCCGTCATAGCCCAGGTCAGGGCCGGCCGGCGGGGCAGAGCAGAACTGGACCGCACTGGATGGGATGGGGTGCAGTGCAGGGTCCCGTCGAAGCCCAAGCCCTGGCCTGTGCCCCTCTCTTGAGTAGCTGGTCCAACATGGCCTCACTGTCACCCCCGCCCAGTGTCCCACTTGGAGGCAGCACCACTTGTTTTCTCTCGGGTGGTTCTGTGGGTCTTGGGCTCAGTTCCCACCAGCAGCTAGGCGTCCTGGCTGGACGTGCGCGGAAAGTCTAACCCATCCAACTGGGAGGCTGGCGGCTCCTGCCCGATTTACTCTGGTGCGCATCAGCCAAGGAGAAGTGGTGCCCTTGGCCCTCAACTTTGTCTCATGCTTGCTCCTTTCGTGACCACTGTGGCTTCCTGACCAGCAGTGGGGACTGTGCTAGCCCCCATGTCACCACAACTGAAGAGCAGGCAGCTGGTGCGGGGCCCCCGCTGCAGCCCAAGCCCTGGAGAGGCTGAGGCAGGAGACTCACAGGGTCGAGCCCAGCACCTACCAATTACAGACCTATCCAGACCCTGACTCAAAATTCTGAAATCAAAAGGGGCTGGGGTGTTGCTCAGGTGTGGCAGAGGCGGCCCAGCCCCCATAGTGGGAGCAGTGTTGCTTGGAATGTCAGAGCCTGAGCCAGGGACGTGACGGATAGTAGGCCTTATTTTATGCGTGTCTTTGATTGCACTCATTTCATTCAGGGGTTTTATTTGTTAGGGGTGTTCATTTGTTCGTTTTTGAAAAGCTCTGGCTCTATAATTCAGTTTGGCTCTGGACTCACTACGTGGCGCATACCAGCCTCAAACACGCGGTGATCCCCCTGCCTCAGCCTCCTGAGTGCTGGGATTGCAGGTGTGCGCAGCTACACCTGCTAACTTTCCCTTTTTTGAGAATTCTTTTTCTGAAGAACTCAAAGGAATCTTGAAGAAGTGAGTAACTCCTCTCTGCCGGCAGGTGACCGACCATTTCACAGAGGACTTCTCCCTGAACTCCGTGATCTCGCAGCTCATAGGACTCAGCAACGCCCTCTCGGTGAGTGGCCCTGTCGTCCTTTGCTGGTGGCGGGGAGATGTAACAGAGTGGCCCCTCCTCGGTACGTGTCTTCACAAGGCATTTTCTCTGCTGCCACAACTTGTCCACGACCGGAAGCCTTTCCAGATCTGAACCCAAAGCCCCTGCTGCCCAGAGCCTCGGGTGGAGACCTGCAGGCCCCGGCAGGGCAGTGAGCCAGGCACGTGAGTGGGGCCGATGCAGGCCTCTCCGTGGCTCTTCCTGCCTGCGTGCCTGTGATTGCATGTTTATTGGATCCAGAGGGATCCCAGTCTCTGAAAACGGAAACTGGTCCCTTCAGTGCCGTGTTCTCCTGCGACATGTGACTCCCATTTTGCTGCCAAGGGAAGAATTCGCCCACAAGCAGGAGTAGCTGTTGGGAACACACACTAGCCCTGTTAACAAGGGCTTGTTAGCATGGTGGCTGGTGGCCTCTCTGGGCTTCCAGAAAGGGGCCCTGGCCGCCAGCCTGGAGGTAGACGCTAATCCCAGCACTCACGGATAAAGAAGAAAAAGAATCGATAGGTTTCTCTCTGAACAAGTGGATGCTTTCAGAATAGTAAAATGCCCCATAAGTGAGGCATGGTGGCGCACGCCTGTCATCTCGGCACCCAGAAAGCTAAGGCAGAAAGATCACTGTGAATTCCAGGCCAGCCTGACTACGTAGTGAGTTCAAGGCCAGCTTGAATTGTGTGTTGACACCCTGTCTCAAAAAGACAAAAAACTAAAGTGGCCCACAATAAAAGACAGATAAAAGCTGTAGAAAGCATTTATAACTGGTATATAGGCAAAAGATTAGTATCTGTGGTGTATGACAGCCTTACGTGTTAATATGAAAACTCTTATCCCAAATTTGGCCGGTGGAGCTGGAAAGACAGTAACTCACAGCCTGTGGCTGCCTGTGACCCGGGGTGGCCACTGCAGGTGGCTTACTGCCACCGAGGCCTGGACCCCTGAGGTACTCCAGCCACAGTGGTGAAGCAACTTGCGTCATAGCCACGGAGAGGAAGAGCTGGGCACCGTGGCCTCGCCAGTATGCTAGCACCTGCACTGTGGCCAAGCTCGTGGCCGCAGGGTGTGCGGGTCCCTGGGGTGCTGGGAGCCGTCTGAGCAGGTCCTTTGCTTGGCATCAGGCCATGACCCAGGAAGCCGTGCAGAGAGCCCAAGAGCAAACCTCTTTCTGTTCAGGGCGCTGCTCCTCATTGACCACACTCCCCCTGGCCTTGGGGACCCCCAAAAGTGACAGGAGCCCCTTCGCAACATGTGCCCTGCCACCCCGCTGTTTGTGACGCTGTGATTCCACGATGCCCTCATCCTGAGCAGCAGTCATTGAGAACTCAGGGTTGGGCAGGGCCATGCAGCCCTGGGCATGCCCTGCACTGTCCTCTCACCTGTCCTCTGTGTCCCCAGCAAGCCTCTGCGCGAGTTCTCCACAGCGCCGAGTTCGAGGACGCGCTCTGCGCGCTGCTGGTGATGACTGCCCCGCTGGCCCCGCACCTGGCCTCCGAGCTCTGGGCAGGTAGGCAGGCATGGCATCTTCCCAAAGGCAGCGGAGCGGCTGGGCCGTCCTCTTCTCGGGGCGCTCACTCTGAATCCTGGGGTCCACCTCTGTCACTCCCTGCTGTGCTCAAGAGCACGTGGATGCCGCTGCCCGGCGTCCCTCTGGGTCCCGCTCTCCAGGACTCAGGGTAGTGAACACAGAGCTGGTGGGCCGCAGAGGAAGGGCGCTGCCCACCTGTTCTTGTTCCCTTCCTCTGCTCGACGCTTCCTTAACTGACAGGAGCCCCGGAGGCTGGTCCTGAAGCCCGTGCTGGCGCGGGGCGCCTCCCTGAACTTCCCCTGGGAGAGCCTAGAGCCACTGCCATAAATCCTCCAATGGGATTGGGCCCAGCAGACAGGGACAGGCAGGGAGAGACGTGTCACTGGGAAAGGTCACGCATGAGAGTTGCAAGGTGTTTCTGGAAACAGCTCGTGTGCCCTGTTTCGGTTTGGCGGTATGCTTGCACAAAGGCCTCTCCTCACTGAGTTTACTGTCGTGGCCTGGCGTGTGTACACTGGAAAAAGAGCTGAAAAGGAACCTGGGGATGGGGATCCGTTTGTCCCTCGCTATCTCACGGTTCAACTTTCACAGACTCACTTTCGTGGGATTTCAAAAACTACCTAAATTATTTATCGCAGCTATTTCACTGTATTGCAGGCTTTTGCAGTACCAGACAGCATGTGTATGTTCTTAAGATTATGTAGGTTTACGAATCTAGACAATGGTTATGAATGTTAGAAGTGTTTTTAAGGGCCCAGGGAGATGGCTCAGTGGAATAAGCGCTTCCCTGGCAAGCGCAAGGGCCTGAGTTCAATCCCCGGTCTTAAAAAAAAAAAAGTGTTTTTAAAAGTGTGGGAAGGCTTATAAGAGTGTGGGAAGGGTTTAGAAACCCTTAAAATATATATAAATACTAAAATAAACACAACGTCCTGACTTCGCTGATTTCCACTCGTCCTGGGGGTGTCTGGAACATGACCTCCGCAATAGTGAGGGCTGCTGCGCAGCTCAGCAGCGGGACAGGCTGCCTGGCAAGCCCCAGGCCTGACTTTGATCCCCAGTACCACAAAAAAAAAAAGAAAAAAGAAAGGAATCTGATGGCCAGGTGTTGTGGCGCACCCCTGTAATCCCAGCAGCCCGGAGGCGGAGGCAGGAGGATCACTGGGAGTCTGAGACCAGTCTGGGCTACAGAGGGAGCTCAAGGCCTGCCTGAACTGCACAGCAAGGCCATCTCAAAGAGACCAAAAATAATAATAATAATAATCTGAACATCCTATAGGAAAACCTACAGGATGGTTTTGTCAAAGGAAGAGGGGCTGAGGTGCGCTTCACTCGCTCAAGGTCAGACACCCAGCGCCCAGTGACAGCAGGCGAGGCCGGGGCTTTGGGGACTGTGGGCTCGACTTCCCATGCCGTCCTGCCCCTTGGAGCCTCTGGAGCCACAGCTGCTGGGGGCGGGAAGGGGATGGAGAGCTGAGTGCTCCCAGCAGCCCCTTCGGCACCGTCCTGCAGATTGGGGGGGGTGGGGAGGACCAGCACTAAGGCAGCCTCAGGCACCACTGTGCTCTGTGGGGCCGTCATGAGCGCTGAGCCTGCGGGGCTCAGGGGACTTCCAGGGCCTCGCAAGGCGAGGGGACCTCTGTGCCTGCTTGGTGACCAACACTGTGCCTTGGTGTTGCAGGCCTGGCACTGGTACCCCACAAACACTGTGCCCACTACACCTGGGATGCCGACGTGCTGCTGCAGGCCTGGCCCACCGTGGACCCGCAGTACCTCCAGCAGCCTGCCGTGGTGCAGGTGGCCGTCCTGGTGAGCACAACCTGAGCATCCCAGCACACATGATGGAGGGCTTGGTACCCTCCGGGCCTCCCTCAGCTGCTGGGGTGGGAGTGTGGGGGTGATGAGAGCAGGGGGGCGGCGGTGAGGCGTGCACAGTGCACACAGGGCCGACGCCGGAAAATACGGCCCGGGAAGCT